TTAATGGTAACCCGATGGAACCTGTGAAACAGACGTCAAGCACTAAACAGCTGCGTTGTATGCCTGGAATTAATTAAACATAATGGCGCGCGCGCGCAACAATCGGTTCCTTTTATACTAAATACTTATAGGGGAGAGTGTGGTCTATTTGGAAACGTGAGCGCAGCGAGTGGCGCTTGCTTCGTCGGTTCGTAAGTTAACCGTCGGGACTCCTAACCTTTCGGGACCTCCCCTCATTGACTTATACAAGAGACCCGATCGTTGAGTAGATTACGTTTGTCAGATTGCCCTTACGTCTTTTTTGGCCATCGGCACATGAGGTCGGGAAAAAAATCCTATAGAATTGCTAGAGGGAGTTGTTATTGTATACCCTTTACCAGCTCAATTCGACAACTCTCTGTATGCAGGGTATCCCGCCCATCTTCTTGTGGCTTTGATTACTATTTTCGTATCTACTAGAAATTGAGACGAAAATCTGGGAAAATGTGACAACATTGAAACGTTTTGAAGAATTAGTTGTTTTCACTCCCCACAAACTGAAAGTTAGGACATTTTACAAACGCAGAGAACTTTGGTAGCGATAAGCAGGGCCCCCACTGTCCGAACAGCCTTATTAACGACATCTTGTTTGCGGACTGAGTGTGGGTTCAACAGACTTCAGTACAAGTTCAGGTATTGTAGGTAGCTCGTTCCGGAACTGTAAGCACTTACGTAACATTTACTATACTATTTCAGTGCCGTATTGTCATTCTTACAATTACCACCTTTCTTATGTTGGCCGTTCAGAAGCGAGTTTTTAAAGAGATTTTGCCCACACCTTTTCGCCCCATAAGAGGGAGCGTTAGGTGGACAACCCTGCTTAGTCTTATTCTTTCGCAAACCCGACACGTCACACACTTTACTATACAGCACACCCGTAATACATTTCACCTGACGTCCGCCAGCTTTGTTTTCAGGTTGAAAGATAATCTATTACTCAACATCAATGTTTAAGCATCTGCGTTTGTAGGGGGGGAGCTGAGAGTTGTGATGTAGAAGAGTCTGAAACGTCTTTGTTCCCGGATTATCTAACTCGTTTCTCCGGGGAGTATTCCTGGGTTCACTCCTGAGGTGGGGCTCTTTTGTGTTCGAAGGTAGGGGGGAGTTGTTGTTGTTGTTTTCTCTTGTGTACGAAGTTTAGGGGGGAGTTTGTTGTTGTAGTTTGTGTAGTAGCAGGTAGGGGGAAGTTAGATGTTTGTGTTGTTTTTCTCTTTGTGTTGAAAGGTAGGGGGGAGTTGATGTTGTTGTTTTCTCTTTGGTTGTTAGAGGTAGGGGGGGGTTGTTGTAGTAGTTTTTCTCCTTTGTGTAGAAGGTTAGGGGTGAGTGTGTTGTTGTTTTCTCTCTTGTGTTAGACGGTAGGGGGGCGTTGTTGTTGTTTTTTTCTATTGTGTGTCGAAGGTTATAGGGGGGAGATGTTGTTGTTGATCTTTCTCTTTGTGTAGCACGGTAGGGGGGAGTTGTTGCTGTTGTTTTCCTTTGGGTAGACGGTATCGGGGGGAGGGGCGTTGTTGTTGTCTGTTGTTCTCTGTGTGTAGCCGGTTAGGGGGAGTTGTGTTGTATGTTTTCTCTTTGTGTCGCAGGGTGTAGGGGGAGTGGTTGTAGTTGTTTTCTCTTCGTGTAGAACGGTATAGAGGGGGGCGATTGTTGCCTGTTGATTTCTCTTTGTGTGCAGGTCGGGGGGAGTTGATGCGTTGTTTTTTCTTTCTGTAGAAGGTAGTGGGGGAGTTGTAGTTGTTGTTTTCTCTTTGTGTTGCAAGGTAGGGGGGAGTTGTTGTTGTTAGTTTTTCTCTATGTGGTTGAAGGTTAGGGGGAGTGTTGTTAGTTGTTGTTTTCTCTTTGGTGTAGACAGGTGGGGGGAGTTGTTGTTTGTAGTTTTTTGTTAGAAGGTCGGAGGGGGGGAGTTGTTGCTGTTGTTTTCTCTTTGTTGTAGCAGGTTAGGGGGGAGTTGTTGCAGTTGTTTTCTCTTTTGTGTAGAAGGTAGGGGGGAGTTTGTTGCTGTTGTTTTCTCTTTGTGTCGAAGGTAGGGGGGAGTTGTGTTGTTGTTTTCTCTTAGTTGTAGAAGGTAGGGGGGGAGTTGTTGTTGTTTGTTTTCTCTTTTGTGAAGAAGGGTAGGGGGGGGGGAGTGTTGTTTGTTGTTTTCTCTTGTTAGACAGGTAGGGGGGCGTGGTGCTGTTGTTTTCTCTTTGTGTAGAAGGTAGGGGGGAGTTGTTGCTGTTGTTTTCTCTTTGTGTAGAAGGTAGGGGGGAGTTGTTGTTGTTGTTTTCTCTTTGTGTAGAAGGTAGGGGGGAGTTGTTGTTGTTGTTTTCTCTTTGTGTAGAAGGTAGGGGGAGAGGTTGTTGCTGTTGTTTTCTCTTTGTGTAGACCGTAGGGGGGACGTTTGTTGCATGTTGGTTTTCTCTTCTGTAGAAGGGTTCGGGGGGAGAGAGTTGTTGTTGTTGTTTTCTCCCTTTGTGTAGAAGGTAGGGGGGGGGAGTTGTTGTTGTTGTTTTCTCATTGTGTTTGAAAGGTAGGGGGGAGTTGTTGTTGTTGTTGTTTTCTCTAAGTGTAGAAAGGTAGGGGGGAGTGTTGGGTTGTTGTTTTCTCTTCGTGTAGCAGGTCGGGGGGAGTTCGTTGCTGTTGTTTTCTTTGTGTAGTAGAAAGGTTAAAGGGGGGAGTTGTTTGCTGTTGTTATTCTCTATTGTAGGTCGACAAAGGTAGGGGGATTTGTGTTCGCTGTTTGGGTCTCTTTGTTCTGTAGAAAGGATAGGGGGGCTGTTAGATGTTGTTGTTATCTCTTTGTGTCGCAGGTAGGGGGGAGTTCGTATGTTGTTTCGTTTTTCTCTTCTTGTGTTGAAGGTAGGGGGCGAGTATGTTGTTGTTGTTTTCTTCATCTTTGTGTCGAAGGTAGGGGGAAGGAGTACGTTGTTGTTGTTATCTCTTTGTGTTTACGGTCGGGGGAGTTGTAGTTGTTGTTTTGTCTCTTTGTGTAGAACAGGTAGGCGGGGATGGTGTTTGTTTGTTGTGTCTCTCATTGTGTAGAACGTGTAGGGGGGCAGTTGTTGTGATTGGTTTTCTCTTTGTGTAGAGAATGGTAGGGGGGAGTTCTTGTTGTAGTGTTTGTCTCTTTGAGTTGAAGGTAGGGGGGCGTATGTAGTTGTTTGGGTTTCTCTCTTTGAGTCGCAGGTATGTAGGGGGGAGGGATGTTGTTGTAGTTTCTCTTTTGTGTTGCAGGTAGGGGGAGTTGTGTTGTGGTTTTCTCTTTGAGTTGTTGACGGTAGGGGGGGATCGTTTGTTGATGTTGTTTTCTCTTTGTGTTGAAGGTAGCAGCGGTGGGGAGTTGTGTGTTGTTGTTTTCTCTATGTTGTTGACGGTTAAGGGAGGGAAGTTGTTGTAGTTGTTTTCTCTTATGTAGAGGTAGGGTGGGAGTGTGTCTGTTGTTGTTTTCTCTTTTGTGGTCGAAGGTAGGGGTCCTTGTTGTATGAGTTTTCTCTTTGTGTTTATGAGTTATTCTAGGGGGGAGTTCGTTGTTGTCTGTATATTTTCTCTTTGTGTTGAGGGAAGAGGGGGGGAGTTAGTTGTTGTGTTGTTTGTATGCTCTTTGTGATGAAGGTAGGGGGGAGGTTGTTTTGTTGTTGTTTCTCTTTGTGTAGAAGGTTAGGGGCGGTCTTTTTGTTTGTTTGTTTTGTTTTCTCTTTTTGGTTTGTGGCTATGGCGAAGGTAGGGGGGAGTTGTTGTTGTATGCGTGGTTTTTTGTTGTTCGTCCAATTAATTTTAGGATTATTGAAAATTGTACCACACGCTTGGACATCAGTTCTGTTAGGAATTTGCTTTTTATCATTTTCACCTATGTTAACCAATGCTAACTTAGTTTTAGAGCGTGGACATCTGAGCTGCCAGAAGATGTAAAAGAGTCTCGCGAGCCTTCCTGGTTCTGTCAGCCTTAAACCGGAGTCTAATGAGGACACGCTCACCTGAAACGGAAGATATCTCCTGCATTCTCAGCTACCTTTGGTCTCTAATTAAGATGTGAGTAGTCCCATGGGACTAGGTGTTCGTGACGTCATGGCACTGTGGTGTGTGAGTCGTCCTGGCAGGGGGTGTGACTTCATGGCACCTGGGGTTGTGCCGTCCTTGGCAACGTGGTCGCTCTTGTGACGTCATGGCACGTGGGGTGTGCCGTCCATGGGCAGGTGGAGGTGTGTGACGTCATGGCACGTGGTGTGTGGACGTCATCCTTATGATGTGTGTGCGCGTGGAAACGTTTGTGTGACGAATCTGCATCACTATTATATTGCACCACTAACTTTTGGGCCACAGTAAGATCCTGGTTTATGCAATTTAATTCATCGGCAAAGACAAATTCGTGTCTGTCAAATGAGTCCACTATGTAGAAATATTCTCTATACATTGGTACTCCATTTTCAGGAAGGTGGGGCAGAAATCATAGAGTAGATATGCTGCACGGCTGCTTCTAGCTTGATTATGACAGCACACGCAACCAGAGGACTATTCTTCCCTTAAGTAAGAATCTTCACTGCTAGGTTCCGTAGTTTAGTTTAAATAAAAAACATTGAAGAAATGCTTAATGAACATTGCACTGAACAGTATTCTAAGAGATGGGAATATTGCCAGGTAATTTAATAAAATAAACAAGGTCAACGGACTAGAGATTTACCTTTTAGGGAAGATGAGTTAGGAGGGGTAAAGGTTTCTAACGCTAATAGATTTTTTTACACTATCTCTCTTCTTTCCTCCTCCTACACGTAGTGTTGAATCTTCGTTGTTGGTTGAGAGGAAATGTAAATTAGTTGTTGCACCTTTACCCGCCTAACTACAAAACCTAAAATGTAAATCTAGTCGTTAGACCGGTTTTATTTAAAATTACTGGCATTACCCATCTTAGACATAACAGTATGTCATGTAAAGAGCGTTTCTTCACATAGTTATTCGTTCAAACTACGAACCTAAGCAGTGCGTTTTAATTAGGAGAATAGCTGCGTTTGGTGTTCTGATATCAAGGCTAGAAGCAGCATGAGCATATCTCTAAGAATGTCACCTGAAAATGTCGTACATATTAGAGGGCATAGGTTACAAAAGTTGGAACACACTTTGGATTAGTTTGCATGACTTAACATTTATACCATGTATCTTATCTTCCCAAAAGTTAGTGGGTTCATATAATATTGATGCAGATCGTCACACAACGTTCCACGGCGCTGCAACAATACTATGATGACGTCCCACACCCACACGTGCCATGACAGTCCATCACCTCGTGCCATGACGTCTCACACCCCACGTGCTCATGAACGTCGCACACACCACGTGCCATGAGTCACACCCCCAGGTGCGCCGATTTGCCGTCACCCCCACGTGCATCCTATTGACGTACCACACCACGTGCCATGACGTCACACCCCACGTGACTACTCACTCTTATTAGAGACAAGGTAGCTGAGAATGCAGGAGATATCTTCCGTTTCAGGTGAGCGTGTCCTCATTAGACTCTGTTTAGCTGACAGAACCAGGAAGGCTCTGATACTCTTTACATCTTCTGCAGTCAGATGTCCCCTCTCTAAAACAAAGTTAGCATTGTTAACTTAGATTCAAAGATAACAATTTCCCTCTAACCAGAGAGGACAACTTGATAGTCCAAGGAGTGGTGGTACCCATTTGTCAATCCTAAAATCTTGGCCTACAACCAAAACCCACAACACCGATACAACTCCCACCCCCTCCCTTCTTATACAAGAGGGAAAACAACAACAACCAGGGCCCCCCCTCATCCTTCTACACAGAAGAGAACAACAACAAACAAACATACTCCCCCTCCTTCACCCAAAGAGAAAACATACAACCAACAACTCCCCCTACCTTCCACAAAGAGAAACACCAACAACAACTCCCCCCTACCTTTCTACACTCAAAGAAGATAACAACAACAACAAGGACCCCCTACTTCTACCACAAGAGAAACCAACAACATCAACTCCCCTACCTTCTCCACAAAGAGAACACCACACCAACAAACTCCCCCCTCCCTTACCACACAAAGAGAAATCAAACAACAACAACCTCCCCCCTACCTTCACAGACACAACGAGAAAACATCCACAACAACTCCCCCTACCTTCAACACCAAGAGAAAACAAGATCAAACAAGACAACTCCCCCTACCTTCACACCTAGCTCTCAGGAATCATACCCCCAACACCAAACCCCCCCTACCTCTACCACTGAGAACACACACCCATCGACTCTCCCCTCTACCTTTCATCACAACAGCTAAGAAAAAGCAACACAACAAACTCCCCTACCTACTACACACAAGAGAAACCCAACAACACAAACACCACCACCTAGCCTTCAACACAAAGTGCACCAACACACCACCACACCACTCCCCCCTACTTCTCCACAAAGAGACAGTACCACCAAACAAACCACTCCCCCCTACCTTCTACACACAAGCAAACAACCCAAACACACAATACTCCCCCCTACCTTCTCCACAACGAGAACAACCACAACAACAACTCCCCCTCCCATTACACAAAGAGAAAACAACAACCACAAACTCCCCCACACGTCTACCCAACGAGAAAACAAAACAACACCCACTCCCCCTACCCTGCTACACACAGAGAAAAACAACAGCAAACAAACTCCCCCTACCCTTCTAACACAAAGCGGAACAAAACCAACAGCACCAACTTCCCACCCTACCTTCTACACAAAGAGAAGACAACACCACGCAAACCAACCTCCCCCTACCTTCTAACCACGAAGAGAAAACAACAACAACCAACACTTCCCCCTACCTATCTACACAAAGAGAAAACAACAACCACAACAACTCCCCCCTCCTTCACCACAAAGAGAAACCAAACCACAACCAACTCCCCCTACTTCTAACAACAGAGAAACCAACACCTCAATACACACTCCCCCTCCTCCTTCTACAGAAAGAAGAAAACAAACGTCAAACAACTCCCCCTACCTTCTACACACAGAGAAACACACCAGCAACAACTCCCCCCTCCTTCTCCAGAAGAGTGCAAACCACAACAGAACCACTCCCCTACCTTCTCCACAAAAGAGGGAAAACAAACCAACAAACTCCCCCTACCTTATACACCAGAAGAAAACAACCGCCAACAACTCCCCCCACCTTCTACACAAAGATAAAACAACAGCCGAAACAACACGCCCCGTTCTACCTTCTACACAACCGACCGACAACCAAACCCACAACTCCCCCTCCTACTTTACACAAGAGCAAAGCTCCACAAACACCAAACACTCCCCCTACCTTCTTACACAAAGAGAATAACACCCACAAAGAATCGCCCCTACCCTTTACACCACGAGGGGGAAACAACAGGCAGACCAACTCCCCCCTACCTTCTTCACACAACAGGCGAAGAAATAACAGCAACAACTCCCCCTACCTTCTACACAACGAGAGGACAAAACAAACAGCAACAACTCCCCTCCTTCCTTCTCCACCAAACGACCATACCACAATCGCAACTCTCCCCCCCTAGCCTTCTACCACAAGAAGAAAACACCAACAACAAACACACTCCCCCCCTCCATCACCCCACAGAGAACTACAACAACCACAAAACTCCCCCACGTCTCCCCTACTCCGCACAACGAGAAACGACCACCAGACAACCAACCCTTCCCCTCCCCTTCTTAACTAGCAAAGAGAAACCAACCGCCAACCACTTCCCTCCCCATCCTTCTACACATGAAGAGAAATCACCAGCACAGCACCCCCACTTCCTCCGCCTACCTCTCTATCACGAGGAGGAATTCAACCAACCACAACAACTCCCCTGTACATCACCCCAACAGGAAACACAACAAATCCACTCCCCCCCATCCCTTAACCACTCCCAAAGAGCACAAACCTCTCTCAGCAACCACACCCCCCCTACCTTCTTACACAAAGAGACAACAACAGCAACACTCCCCCTCCCTTACTACACCCCAAAAAGAGAAAAACAACAAGCAACCACACTCCTCCCTACCAATCCTACACAAAGAGAATCACAACATCAAACCATCCCCCTCCCTTCTACCACAAGAGGAAACAACAACCAGCTCCCCTCCCACTCCCCTACCTTCAACCCCAAAGTGCAGCATGTGGCGAAGAGCCCACCAGGGACAACAACTCCCCTACCTTCTACCCCAAAGAGAAAACAAACACCACACACTCCCCCCTTCCGTTTTGTCGTGACCACAAAGAGACAAACAAACACCCCACTCCCCTACCTTCTAACAACAACAACACAACACCTCCCCCTACCTACCTCCACCAAATAGAAAAAACAACACAACAAAACTCCGCCTCCATACCGTCAAACCCAACAGAGCCCCAAGCCTCAGGAGGGACCCGCAATCATCCGGAGACACGTTACTTAATCCGGGGACACGTTTCAGACCTGTCTAACATCCCAACTTCTCAGCTCCCCCCCCAAACTTCCGTGATATTGTTGAGTATAGTGTTACCTGCAAGTGTTGCGACATGTGAAAAGTGTGTGTGAGAAACATTGTGGATACCGAGAGTTAGAGAAAAAGCGCTTATGCAGGGTTTCCCCGCCACAGCTTCTTATGGGCGAAACTTATGTTGCAAGCTCCCCTCTCTTTTAAAACTCGCGGAGACTGCCCCGACCTACTCGACAAGTAGTGCTTGTAGACTTACCAACTCCCTGCACCTGAAACGTAGTAGATAAAATACTTACAGAGCTTCCATTCATGACCTTCTGCACCTACAAACCTGAACTTGATCCTGAAGACAGCATCCCAATTCGCTCCGTGTTCGCGAGCGCACCGACACGAGCGTTTTGTAATATTATATCCGTTCAGTATTTAAAGAGGGCGGTTCCCTTTTGGACTTTTTTAGGACTTTTACTAGCTTAGAGTCTAATGGTGGGTTGAGTTCGGTGTATACTCATCTCGGCACCTCCGCCCGCGTCATATCCCCCCCCCCGCCCCTCATAAACCCCCACACCTGTGCCCTCCTCCCCACCCAAATTCACGTTTTGGCGAGGGCCCCCTATCCCTCCCCTGTAAATTTGACTACTCCCCCCCCTGACTCTCCCCCGCCCGCGACGCTACTGATATCCGCATTTTAGTCTAATTTTCGTAGTCTGTGTGTGTGAGAGATATAGCCTTGGTAAAGAGTATACATCTCAATCCTCTTATCAATTCTATGGATTTTGGTCCCTACTCTTGCGAAGGGCACAAAGATCGTAGGGAATAAGTAATGCGGGTTGGGAACCCCCTACCTTCTACACAAAAACAACAACAACAACTCCCCCCTACCTTCTACACAAAGAGAAAACAACAACAACAACTCCCCCCTACCTTCAACACAAAGAGCCCCAGCCTCAGGAGTGACCCAGTAATACTCCCGGAGAACGTTAATAATCCGGGACACGTTCAGACTCTGTCTAACATCACAACTCTCAGCTCCCCCCACAAACTCAGTGCTTATTGTTGAGTATAGTTTTACCTGCAAGTGTGACGTCATGTGAAATGTGTGTGTGTGTAATAAATTGTGGTTACGTGTGTTTGAGAAAAGATTAGCAGGGTTTCACCAACGTCTCTTATGGGCGAAAAATGTTGGCTAAAATCTCTTTTAAAAACTCGCTGGAACTGCCAGACATAAGAAAGTGTAGATTGTAGAATTACAAATACTGCACTGAAATAGTAGTAGTAAATTTTACTTAAGTGCTTACATTCCTGAACTTGCACCTACATACCTGAACTTGTACTGAAGTCTTGACCCACATCTCAGTCCGCAACAAGATGTCGTTAATAAGGCTGTTTAAGAGGGGGCCCTGCTTTATCTCTACCAAAGTTCTGCGGTTGTAAAATGTCCTTAGTTTGGGAGTGGAAACAAAATTCTTCAAAACGTTTCAATTTAAATTTCCAGATTTTCGTCTCAATTTCTAGTATAGAAAATAGTAATAAGAAAAATGGGGATCGCAGAGATTTTAATTGGTAAAGTGTATACATATCAATCCCTCTATCAATTCTATGGATTTTTTTCCCTACTCTTGCCGAAGGCAAAAAGATCGTAGGGAATAAGTAATCGGGTTTGGATATATGAGGTGGCCCGATGGTCCTACGTTGACGACAAAAGTCTGCTCCTTCGCAATATAGACCACTCCCCTATAATTATGTGTATAAAAGGAACCTATTTTGCGCGCGCGACGCCAGTTATGTGTTAATTAATTACAGGCATAGCAACCAGTTTGACGACTGTTACATAGGTTTCCATCGGGTTACAATTTACTCTAATTCATAAATATAGCATATTAGTCATCTAAGCGGATCAATCATCAATATAAGTGTAAATATTTTGTTGAAACAAGCTTAATAAATTATCGAGTGATAAAATTCAGCAAGTCAAAACAAATTAAATTATTATATCAGCTGATAAACTCGTGGCCGATTATTTAACACTGAATCGTAAAAAAATTAAACACTTAATCGTAAAAAGCGATTACATATTTAAGAACAGATGCTACTTTACATTTACATTCAAGAAGCAACTAAGATCAAGATTGCGGTATGCTTTTAAAGAATCCTATATAGTCGATGGTGCTTTAGATGTGTCGAGTAAGCATCAAAATGTATTAGTTTATGTTAGATACAAATAATAACTAAGATGAGACAGAATATTTTATTACAGTCAATAAAGTTGGCATACGATGCAGTAATATGACGTGACATGATACGCAACGTTAACACGAAACAAACCGCGCAAAATATGAAATGATCTACAACCAAACCACATACAGATATATCGACGGCGACACCTCAGATGCGCGCAGAATTTTACAAGTTCTGCACGCCTAATATAATGAAAACGATTATCACGTGCGCCAAACACCACTCTGGGATACAATAAAGTAGAACATTGTAGGCAGTAGGGAAATTTGATCGTGCGTGGTGTTACCGCGGCGAAATTCTTGTTTTAATCGATATTGGATGATTCTTAAAGTTAAACTGTACCTTCCAAGGGAAAGGAAAGCCTCGAGGGCAGCTTCACTCAGGAACTCGGCCGTGGTGTTGAAGAGAAGATGTGATATAACGAGGAGGGAGCGGTGGGTTGTTACGTAAGACTGACATGTAGCGCTCGACTTTACCAAGTCCACGAACAGCCAGAGCAGGGTTGCGCACAGCTCCTGGCTTGAGTCTGAGGGAGAAGGTGTTAGTTTGAGGGAGAAGGTGTTAGTCTGAGGGAGAAGGTGTTAGTCTGAGGGAGAAGGTGTTAGTTTGAGGGAGAAGGTGTTAGTCTGAGGGAGAAGGTGTTAGTCTGAGGGAGAAGGTGTTAGTTTCCGTTGATTAACGGTGATTAGGAGACTTGAGGAGGGCAGCGGTCTTACCCGAACACAATACCAGTTAATGGGCATTGGACAAACAATAACTTGCCAAATTCCGGAGATACCAGGGTGTAAACTTTTACTTTAAGAACAATAAAATTCCATAGACACACTACCCTCTTGAAGATCAATCCCCTCAGTGCCAGTTAAAATTTCTTGGCAGTTTTTTCGATGTTGTTAAATGTTAATGTTGTACAGGGTGAGTGTAAACTCCAAAAAAATTTACTCCAAAAAAATTCGCGGTAAATTCTTTTCTTTTAACATGAAGTACGAAAAATAAAAGTCACTTCGAATACCTGTTGTACAATTATCCATTAATAATTTATATTAGCTAATATTGCGCAGTTCTTGGCAAAATTTCATTAGAAAGGAAAAAAGATATTTGCACTCTTTATAGTCGTCTCTCAGGTTGGATTATTCGCCGCCGACGAAAATCAAACCATATTTCATATTTGGCTCCCGCGCGTCTCACTCCTAATTGGTCAATGCAACTCCCACCATTTTCGCTTCACACCTCAGATTTATGTTTTGAACAGTTTCCTATATGGGCTATTGGGGATGTAATGGTCATGGTTGCGGTTTAAATTAATATTAAAAGATTAAGCGACTACCAACATTAGGAAACTGGAACGTTCGTTTCCGCAACCTTTTCGATAATGTTGTGTTTGTAAGATTTTAATCACCCACATGCAAATAAAAATATATCATGACTTAAACTTTTCCAGCTAAAAATGGACAAGGCTTTGTGGAATGTTGCAATGATTTTACTGATCTGTGGCTACACTGAGGCTGCAGCTAGGCCTACTTGGACTGGTTGGTCGGGCAACAACTGGTTCTGGGGTTCAGATAAAGAAGCACACTGTAAAACGTACGGAAACCACAAAGTAGTGGAAATGAACTGGAGGGAGCAGGAGGGATACGGGCTGGTGGATTTGTGGTTCAAATGTAGCAGTGGAGAAACTTTCACGCTGACAAAACACAAGGGCGGATCCTGGCATTACTGGGGTTCCAGTCAGAAGTGTGAATCTGGTTTCGATAAGCTCTCTCCAAGAGAGCAGAATGGGTTCGGACTTATTAACATGAGGACCAAGTGTGGGGACAAGAACATCGACGGCAACTTAAAGTACAAAGGACACTGGAATAGGATGGTATACTGTACGCGTGGTAAAAAAATTGTAGGATTCACGGTCAAGGAGCAAAATGGTTTTGGCCTAATCGACGTTAGGGTGATGTGTAGGCGGATGAAAAAGACTCGAAGAGTCCTAGTCATCCGACTCTAGATATTCAGGGGATACGGTATTATATGAATACAATCAAAAGAATTCTATAATACAGAATCTTTAAATTGATCTTTTGAAAGATAAGCAACAAAGCATTGTATGAAAGGTGCAAAGTTGAAAAGTTATCCAAGCGTATCGAACACCAGCGGTGGAAGATGTTTGGACACATTCTCAGGAGTATGGAGAACACCCCAGCCCAAACGGCTCTCTCTTTTGCTATTGAATCAGATAATTTATTCATTGGAAGATTGGGGAGACTTAGATTGAACTTGTTATCTGTTTTAAGAAGTGATTTAAGTAGTAGAAATTTGCAAATGGACAACTTGCATGAATTGAACGAAATTGGAGATATAGCTGCATGCAACAAATGTTGGGAAAATCTGTTTCAAGGGTACAGTTTACCGCATTAAGTTATTTTTAAGAATCATTTTTGTCGGTAAGATCCTGTTTTATAATAATAATAATTTTGAAAGATAAACTGTAATGGAGCCCGATCGTGTTTTCGTTTCTTTTGTTTTTCACTTATTATTTCTGGAAATTTCGATGTATTGAATATCTTATACTTAACTCTGTAGAGTCTGTTAGATCAGCTAAAATTGATTCTGAACCAGTTGTCATAACTTCCTTTTCAGAACGTTCATATATGGAACTTGGAAGTGCACAAAAAAAGGAACTTCAACATGACATTGCAACTTACAGATTACTAAAAATTAACTAAGTAGTAAGTACAAATTAGCAAATTAAATTAGTGCACAATAAAATGAACTTTTGCTCTTCAACATGACGTCACACACCACGTGTCATGACGTCACACACCACGTTCAACATGACATTGCAATTTACAGATTACTAAATTAACAAAGTACAAATTAGCAAATTAATTACAAATACCTTCGCAAGATGTGAGTTGATGGAAGAGAGGGAGGAGGACTTGGATTCCTCCTAAGGAATGTAGGGTGCTTTGAACATTCCGGGTAGCAACTGTTTCTACGCCTTCCAGCAGTATGGCGTGGGAACTGTTCACAAAGGAGTCGTAAAGAGGGTTTTGTGAAACCTGAACAGAGAGATTTTTAATAACTGAACAGAGGGGTTTTTAATAACTGAATAGAGGGTTTTTATACAACTGGATGTCAGGTTTTGAGCTTCTAATTGTTTAGCTAACCCAGTTATGTAATTTCTCGGACTACTAAAGCTACTAGTTACTACACAATAGAAACGAACCTCAAAACAAAGCTGTCCGTTACAAGCTTTAGGATTATAACTGAAGATCAGGGAGTTAGCCAGTTTCCCACTGTAGATGATGTTCTGGTCGGCTGCGGGTATCGGCACATCGTGCTCGTTACGGTATTGGAACGCGTGCTGAGGTGGGATTGGTTAACATCGTGCTCGTTACGGTATTGGAACGCGTGCTGAGGTGGGATTGGTTAACATCGTGTCGCATGACATTGAACTTACTAAAAGCACACACAAGGAGACACCTCCCACTACTAAGTAAATGATTTGACGCTACACGTTTCGTGCCAAGATTTCACACACCACGTAACATCATGTCACACACCACGTGTCATGACGTCACACACACCACGTAACGTCATGACGTCACACACCACGTGTCATGACGTCACACACCACGTGTCATGACGTCACACACCACGTGTCATGACGTCACACACCACGTAACGTCATGACGTCACACACCACGTGTCATGACGTCACACACCACGTAACGTCATGACGTCACACACCACGTAACGTCATGATGTCACACACCACGTGTCATGACGTCACACACCACGTGTCATGACGTCACACACCACGTAACGTCATGATGACTCACCTTGTAGTCAGCCCCAAGTCTGTACAGAGCGGAGATGGTGGTGTTAGGAAGACAGTCCCCAAATAACGAGATACTGGACATCTGGCCACAGAAAGAGCTCTCTACCGTCGTTCTGGGACTTGACCCAATGTAACACTTGTCAAACGGCTGGAATGTTTAAAATAGTAAAATATAAGAATCAGACTGGCTGTCCCTTGAAGTTGAATGGTTAATCGCTTAATTAAATCAGTTATTATTCTATTGAAATTGTTGTGTTTAACGGTATTATACTTTGAGCCGTTTCAGTTTCAATCAATGCTACAGGTCATTAATAATGTATAATTCGAATGAGTCTTAAATTTCAATTTAACATAATATTATATAATGTATAATATACAATTAAAACACAAATTTCACTATCTCTTTGATTTATAAATTACATAAGACCTCAAACTGTGTCCCCAGGACAGCGCAGCACAAGTGAAATGGTAAACGCACGTGATAACGGAGTCTACATGACAAACATCGCGCATATTATCTCCCTCACGGCTGATAACCTCGTGGTAGAGTGTGGAGGTGTGGGCAAACTAGTGAACGAGATTACAGTTCCTGGCAAGGTGGTTTTTTACTGGTCTTTTACTAATTTTTTACTGGTTTTTTTTACTTGTTTTTAATGTTTTTTTACTGGCAAGGTGGTCTCTTACTGGCCTATTTTTGGGAGCCTTTCATTTCGACTGGCTTCCAATCAAGATCAATCATTAATCGGATATGTCATACGTTATATTATTTACTTTTATCACGCCCTCGCAATATTTTCATCTTTAAACATTTCTACAAAATATTTCCTTGCGTTTACACAGTCTCCCTACCAGCCCTCACTGGAAAACCACGAACCAGTAATGGAGTTTGAGAAAGCGTTTAAGTTAGTGGAACTGCTAGTGGGTATTGTGGACACGGTGGTCTTCTGTTCTGTTCTGAACTTTAATCTGGTGGAGAGTGCTAGGAGCTTAAAGCAGGGTGGTATGATGCGGATATCTCTACGATTAGGTGGGATTTATATTTAGGCAATCTGGTGATCATCAATTTGGTTGAACTATTTGTATTAAATTTGAACTTACTTTTGACTTCGTGGAAAAATAAATCCGGTCGTGGTGATGATATACCAATTCATTATAAAACGAACAAGTTAACTTAATTTTTGTTCTTTCCTCATGCAATTTTATATCTTTTCCATAGTGACGTGTCTCTCGACGATAAACTGTCTCAAAAAGAGGCAAAGACAGAAGCTGAGACGAGCCGATCTGGTACCGAAGTTGGTTCAAGAGGAAATAAACTCAAAACTCACTCCGCTGGGTACTGTGGGGGAACCTCTTAGACTGGTAGGTGGACTAGGTTACTGGGTACTGTGGGGGAACCTCTTAGACTGGTAGGTGGACAAGGTTACTGGGTACTGTGGGGGAACCTCTTAGACTGGTAGGTGGACTAGGTTACTGGGTACTGTGGGGGAACCTCTTAGACTGGTAGGTGGACTAGGTTACTGGGTACTGTGGGGGAACCTCTTAGACTGGTAGGTGGACTAGGTTACTGGGTACTGTGGGGGAACCTCTTAGACTGGTAGGTGGACTAGGTTACTGGGTACTGTGGGGGAACCTCTTAGACTGGTAGGTGGACAAGGTTACTGGGTACTGTGGGGGAACCTCTTAGACTGGTAGGTGGACAAGGTTACTGGGTACTGTGGGGGAACCTCTTAGACTGGTAGGTGGACAAGGTTACTGGGTACTGTGGGGGAACCTCTTAGACTGGTAGGTGGACAAGGTTACTGGGTACTGTGGGGGAACCTCTTAGACTGGTAGGTGGACAAGGTTACTGGGTACTGTGGGGGAACCTCTTAGACTGGTAGTTGGACTAGGTTACTGGGTACTGTGGGGGAACCTCTTAGACTGGTAGGTGGACAAGGTTACTGGGTACTGTGGGGGAACCTCTTAGACTGGTAGGTGGACAAGGTTACTGGGTACTGTGGGGGAACCTCTTAGACTGGTAGGTGGACAAGGTTACTGGGTACTGTGGGGGAACCTCTTAGACTGGTAGGTGGACAAGGTTACTGGGTACTGTGGGGGAACCTCTTAGACTGGTAGGTGGACAAGGTTACTGGGTACTGTGGGGGAACCTCTTAGACTGGTAGGTGGACAAGGTTACTGGGTACTGTGGGGGAACCTCTTAGACTGGTAGGTGGACAAGGTTACTGGGTACTGTGGGGGAACCTCTTAGACTGGTAGGTGGACAAGGTTACTGGGTACTGTGGGGGAACCTCTTAGACTGGTAGGTGGACAAGGTTACTGGGTACTGTGGGGGAACCTCTTAGACTGGTAGGTGGACAAGGTTACTGGGTACTGTGGGGGAACCTCTTAGACTGGTAGGTGGACAAGGTTACTTCAAGCATTACTTCAGGACTTAGTGTCATATATCAACCAATCATTTAATTTCCATTCCATTTATTCTCTTACCTTTTCTAATATTTGCTTCCATCACCAGCTGTTAAATAGGTTTCATTCTGATAAATATCCTAACGTTTAACCTAGTTTCGGTTTCACTTTCACTCCTAAGTTTCACTTTTACACGCTAGTTTCGGTTTCACTTTCACTCCCAAGTTTCACTTTTACACGCTGATAAACCTCGCCAGCACCTGCTGAACAAGTTGGAGCAGAGACACAACGAGGACCTGAAGATAGATTACCTCCTGGAGGAGAAAGACGTGTACCACCTGCGGAGCTGCGTTATGAGGGACCTTGACCTCTACATGAAAGAGAGTAAGTTTCAAACTAACAACAAAAAAAAGGAGACACTTTTTTACACAAATCACCATGCTATGTTCTGGTCCTAATAAACGAGAGAAAATGTGTTTGTTGTGCTTTCTCATTTTGTTATGCTTTCTCATTTTGTTGTGCTTTCCCATTTTGTTGTGCTTTCCCATTTTGTTGTGTTTTCTGCTCATGATTTCCTACAAAAAACTCGCTATTCACCCACTCACTGATCACAGATAAGCCTCTAATTGTCCGTACTAACGAGTTATTATCTCCCCAGGCGAGCAACAAGCACTTCAAGTGTTATTCTACCTCTCAGTGCTCACTGTGACACAGTACCACGAAATTGTTAACAGACACCGAGGTGGAAATAACATCACAGGTGAACAAAGAAAACTTTGACTTTCATGGTTTAAATTACCTGGACTTTATCCCTCAAACAAGATTCACCAACTACCCCATCACTTATTAATATTACATGTCATAATTTTCAGAGAAAACTTAGATTTTGTTGGTTTTAAAGACCTGAATTACAAAAGTCACCATAGTCTGTAATCATATAATCTATTTTCAATCCATCCTATCTATTATCATATATGACAATTTGCAGAGCAAGTACAGCACGCTCTAGCCCACGTTATCATATATGACTATTTGCAGAGCAAGTACAGCGCGCTCTAGCCCACGTTGGTCCTATCTATTATCATATATGACAATTTGCAGAGCAAGTACAGCGCGCTCTAGCCCACGTTATCATATATGACTATTTGCAGAGCAAGTACAGCGCGCTCTAGCCCACGTTGGTCTATTTTCAATCCATCCTATCTATTATGATATATCACAATTTGCAGAGCAAGTACAGCGCGCTCTAGCCCACGTTGGTCCTATCTATTATCATATATCACAATTTGCAGAGCAAGTACAGCGCGCTCTAGCCCACGTTGGTCCTATCTATTATCATATATCACAATTTGCAGAGCAAGTACAGCGCGCTCTAGCCCACGTTATCATATATCACAATTTGCAGAGCAAGTACAGCGCGCTCTAGCCCTATCTATTATGATATATCACAATTTGCAGAGCAAGTACAGCGCGCTCTAGCCCACGTTGGTCCTCTATTATGATATATCACAATTTGCAGAGCAAGTACAGCGCGCTCTAGCCCACGTTATCATATTATATCACAATTTGCAGAGCAAGTACAGCGCGCTCTAGCCCACGTTGGTCCTCTATTATGATATATCACAATTTGCAGAGCAAGTACAGCGCGCTCTAGCCCACGTTGGTCCTATCTATTATGATATATCACAATTTGCAGAGCAAGTACAGCGTGCTCTAGCCCACGTTGGTCCTCTATTATGATATATCACAATTTGCAGAGCAAGTACAGCGCGCTCTAGCCCACGTTATCATATATCACTTAATTTGCAGAGCAAGTACAGCGCGCTCTAGCCCACGTTATCATATATCACTTAATTTGCAGAGCAAGTACAGCGCGCTCTAGCCCACGTTATCATATATCACTTAATTTGCAGAGCAAGTACAGCGCGCTCTAGCCCACGTTATCATATATCACTTAATTTGCAGAGCAAGTACAGCGCGCTCTAGCCCACGTTATCATATATCACTTAATTTGCAGAGCAAGTACAGCGCGCTCTAGCCCACGTTATCATATATCACTTAATTTGCAGAGCAAGTACAGCGCGCTCTAGCCCTATCTATTATGATATATCACAATTTGCAGAGCAAGTACAGTGCGCTCTCTATTATCATATATCACAATTTGCAGAGCAAGTACAGCGCGCTCTAGCCCACGTTGGTCCTATCTATTATCATATATCACAATTTGCAGAGCAAGTACAGCGCGCTCTAATCCTATCTATTATCATATATCACAATTTGCAGAGCAAGTACAGCGCGCTCTAATCCTATCTATTATCATATATCACTTAATTTGCAGAGCAAGTACAGTGCGCTCTAATCCTATCTATTATGATATATCTGTATTTGCAGAGCAAGTACAGCGCGCTCTCTATTATGATATATTACAATTTGCAGAGCAAGTACAGCGCGCTCTAGCCCACGTTGGTCCTCTCCTTAACGACTTGTTGCTGGATTTCCAGGGTTTCTTCGCTAAAACCATCCTGGGAACTCATGGACGTGAACTTTTCAACGAGAGTAAGTAGATTGCTATCAATATAGAAATTTGCGATGAATTCCTTGAGAGTCGCTGTCAGTGTCACTTTCAAAGCTAACTTAAACTATCATTGCCACGTGATTACGACCTTGTATTTTGCCAGGTTTATCCTGTTTCAAAGGAGAAGTATCAGTAGTGGAGCTCGCAATGCAACTGTGCAGTCAGGAATGGCTGACAGCTCTGGAGAAACACGCTGGTGTTTCCTTTACTAAGTTACTGAGGGAAGGGAGGCATGTTGCTAGCAGCACTGATGAGGTGAGTGTCACAAAACTTTCCGTTTTTATTTATTTTTTGCTTTTTAAATTTTTTGCTTTAAATGGTTTGATGCTCTTTTATCGAACGTCAATAGTGCATGTGAGTCGGGTTTTTTAATCGTTTTGTAATGAATTTCGATCAAATCTCCGAGATGCGTGGTTTGATTTTCACTTTGTAACCTCGCTCACCACTATCACTTTCACTTTCACTTTGTAACCTCGCTCACCCACTATCACTTTCACTTTCACTTTGTAACCTCGCTCACCCACTATCACTTTCACTTTCACTTTGTAACCTCGCTCACCCACTATCACTTTCACTTTCACTTTGTAACCTCGCTCACCCACTATCACTTTCACTTTCACTTTGTAACCTCGCTCACCCACTATCACTTTCACTTTCACTTTGTAACCTCGCTCACCCACTATCACTTTCACTTTCACTTTGTAACCTCGGTCCCACAGTATCTGGTGAAACTAGCCCTGTGGTCAGAGAACGTCGCAGCAGAAGCGATAGCTGAACACATTGTCAGAGCTGCGGAGTTTGAAATGTCTTCTAAACAAATAGTTTCAGGTAACTTTGGGGCAGGGAAATTATTTGCGATTAATATAACCTTGTATTGTTGTATTTCATTGTTACACTATACAGACCTTTGACTGCGGATATTACCTACACCAGTGCACTGAGCACACCCCTGTCCTATTCCTATGATAAGATGTGAAATGAAATAACACGTGACTTGTTAAAACATGTGACTTATTCCGACTTTTCTGATGTGAGAGGCTGTTCACCTCAGCTCTGTACATGCAACTGTGCTCGGCCCGTATACCACTCTGCTGTTGTTTTCTTACATCTCTTCATATCAATTTATACGGGCTAGGGAACGTTTTCAGTCTATGTGATCTAACCAAAATGTCGCCTCCATGACTTTGAGTAGATGGGAAATTTACCTGGTAAATGTTAGACAACCAATGTTGTAATTAGCATTTTGTCTCAAAACCATTCCATTTTATTAAACGTGCGCTTACGAACGCTGTCCATACTCCATATCATATCTCTAAATCTTAAATTTGATCCTTCGAACAGCTGTTGAGCAATGAAACGCAAAAATAATCTTAGCAAAATGAATATATTTCTTTTATCTTCAGCATTTAATCAGTCACATAATCTCAAATTATTTGTTATATAGTAGTGTTGGAAGTATTAAAACTATATATCTCTAAACCCTCTAAAGATCACTTCCGACCGGACTCAAACCGAATCCACAAAAGTTTTATGATTCTCCGCGTAGTACGACCAACACCGACCGACCAAGACAACTTCTATTCAAGATTCATTTTTCCGAAAAAATTATAGCGCCCTGCAAAGTGCACATATTCAATATCAAGGCATGCTATAAATTTGTAACATGCGTTCTCCCTCAGCACTGCTCGCGGAGCAGCACAACACGATCAGATTGTTACACAGCCAACAGAAACAGTCCCTGGTAACGGGAGAAAAGGGATGGGAGTACGTGAAACAGTTTAGTGAACAGCTCAACTTGGACACTGAACATGTCACTCATTACAGGTACCTTTCTCTTTCACTTTCTCTTTTAATTTCACTTTCACTTTCTATTGCTCATATTTATTTATAATTTTAGCAGTCTAATACAACTAAACCTATCAGGTTGGACTCATGGGAGGACAGTTCGAGAAGACGGTATAAGATGCTCTACAACCCAACAGGGACCACTCATCCTCAAGCTGTAATGCACCCTACTGTCAGGTTTGTTATTATCTCAACGGATTTGTGACGTCATTAATTCTTCGTGACGTCAATTTGATACAATACCCAGGGACTCTTTTGTATGCTGAGTACTGGTATCTCGTGAGATCTTATTTCGTCATGTGCCAATTTTTTTGGTCACCTTACAAAGTTATGTTTTCAGAGTTCCAGCAAACAGAGAAATAGAATGTGGCTCACCAAATCACGTGATAGTAGCACAACAATTGAAAAAGAGCCAGCAGCCACCGGAAGATGACGAGGAGCAGGACACGGCTGTAGATGAGAATGATATTGATAATAATAAGGGTACATTTATTGAAGGGATCTTTTATTGAAGGGATTTTTTATTTCGGGCTAAACTGCGATTGAGGAACAAATCGATGGAACAATTTATTAGTTTATTGGTAATAATTTTTGAATATGTTTCATTTACAATTTTCATTTACACAAAATTTCCCGGTGTATTCGATAGCTTTCTTCTCAGTCAGCTCGGTCAACATTTACTCAAAATAAATGTCCCGTCTCAGGACACCTGGTCAGATAGTCTGGTCGTTAACCCTCTCCTCCTCAGGTAACCTTCTATTCAGCGAGCGAGCCACCCTACTCCTACCCGGCCGACGTCTAACAGGCACGCTGACAATAACAAAACTAGCTGCCATGTTCAGTGCTAGCGAGTCACGTGAGGAGGAAAACTACAAGTTCTACAATGTAGACGTATCCGCTGTGTTCACCAGACGCTACCTTCACCTGTACCGGGCCCTGGAGGTGTTCACTATTGGACACAGGAGCTGGTTGTTCGTGTTGACGGACTACGAGGCAGTGCGGCGCGCAGTGGCCTCGCTCCCCCGCGTGGGAGTGGGTCTGCAGTATGGGTTACCTAGTCGCAGACAGATATCTCTAGCTCATCCTAGGAGGCTCCTTAGAGAGGTGGGTGGTGAAGGAGATTTACAATAAAGAGCCTCATACCATGATTAAATCTGTTTCAATATATAATTGTTTTTCAACCAATTAATTAATTATCGAATTAAGCCTCAATCTTCCTCAACTCCCTCAGTCTAACATCATGGACAAATGGAGAAGCCGTGAGATCTCAAACTTTGACTACCTCATGTTCCTGAACACGATAGCAGGGAGATCTTACAATGATTTGGGACAGTACCCAATCATGCCCTGGATACTTAAAAACTACACTTCTGAAAAGCTTGACCTCTCCGATCCCGGTATGTCGTGTTTTGTCTCTTTTTTTTTCAGAAAAAAGTTTTAGTAAATTTCGTGCTCTTAATTTTCCTAGCATGCAAATAGTTAGATCACGATTATTTTATGCTCTTTAATATTTTTCGTTGTAATAGGTTCAATTTATTACTCTGGGAACGAACAAATCACAATCGTTAAGTTCACTAAAACATGCAATATAATCACGTGACTTTATTCTAAACGTTACCCCCTGGTTACCCCCTGGTTACCCCCTGGTGACATGATAACATAATGCTTTCAGCAATACTCATAACGTCATCACACCAGGTAACTACCGAGACTTGAGTCGCACAATGGGAGCCCAAACAGCAGAACGAGCAGCTAAATTCAGGGACAAGTTCGAGATGAGTAAGGAAGGAGTTGCTCCTCCATTCCATTATGGGACCCATTACAGGTGAGTTTTAAATACCTCCCCAATATTTACTGCTAGTAAATTCTTAGTTTCACCGCCTGGGGTAATTAACTGACTGAAATTCTCGATACTACCAACCTACTGATCTATAGAATAACCGCCTCCGTGCCTGAATAACCACAAAAAAATCACGTGACGTCATAACACGTGACGTCATAACACGTGACGTCATGACACGTGACGTCATAACACGTGACGTCATAACACGTGACGTCATAACACGTGACGTCATAACACGTGACGTCATAACACGTGACGTCATAACACCTTTACCTCACCTCAGCACCCCTGGATTTGTGTTGATGTGGTTGTTGAGAGTGGAACCCTACACGACCATGTTCCTGAAGCTACAGTCTGGAAAGTTCGATCACCCCTGCAGGGCCTTCTCAAGTGTGGCCCAGGCTTGGGATAACTGTCAACGTGATATGGCCGATGTAAAGGTCAGTTAATTATATAATAAATTATTTAATTGTCAATTTCCACAATAGTTTCAGGAGTTGTGCATCTTTTTGGTTAGATCGAATGATTATCAAAATTTTTTATTAGGCTAGGCTGGAATTATTTAACTGAAATAAGGGACAAAATGAAACAAAGTACATTTTTGAATGCGTTGATGGACTTATAATACTGAATGAAAAACCTCTTTTTCAAATATTGTTAAAGACACACTCCGATAAGTCCATTTCCGGCAAAATTTCCCTTTTGAAGCAGAATCTTCCCATGCTTTTGTCTGTTGTACGTGTTATTTGATTTCACAGTTTATTGATCTTCTTCTCCCTCTTCCTCGTCGAATTCACCTTCCTCTTCGGCGGTGGCATCCTGGTACTAAAACAGAAATATGTTAGGAATTGTTGTCAGGGAAACCTTTATAATCAGAAAGAGATGTTATCCATACAGTGCACAACCAGTGCATGATGAGCAAATTACTCTTTATGTTTAGTTATATGATTAATAATGGAAAACTGAAATAAGAAAAGTCTTAAATAATCAATTTACCTGTTGGTATTCAGATACGAGATCGTTCATGTTGCTCTCGGCTTCAGTGAATTCCATCTCGTCCATACCTTCACCAGTGTACCAATGGAGGAAAGCCTTACGCCTGAACATAGCAGTGAACTGTTCGCTGATCCTCTTGAAGAGCTCCTGAATGGCGGTGCTGTTTCCGATGAAAGTGGCAGACATCTTGAGTCCTCTGGGAGGAATGTCACAGACGGCGGTCTTCACGTTGTTGGGGATCCATTCGACGAAGTAGCTGCTGTTCTTGTTCTGTACGTTCAACATCTGCTCGTCAACTTCCTTCATGGACATACGTCCTCTGAACATAGCGGCGACTGTGAGGTATCGGCCGTGTCTGGGGTCGCAAGCGGCCATCATGTTCTTAGCATCGAACATCTGGGCGGTGAGCTCGGGAACGGTCAGAGCTCTGTACTGCTGGGATCCTCGGCTGGTGAGAGGAGCAAATCCGGGGATGAAGAAGTGAAGTCGGGGGAAAGGTACCATGTTGACTGCGAGTTTCCTGAGATCAGCGTTAAGCTGTCCAGGGAACCTCAGGCATGTGGTGACACCAGACATGGTGGCGGAGACGAGATGGTTAAGATCTCCGTATGTGGGGGTGGTGAGTTTCAAGGTCCTGAAGCAGATATCGTAGAGAGCTTCGTTGTCAATGGCGAAGGTCTCGTCTGTGTTCTCAACCAGCTGATGGACGGAGAGGGTGGCGTTGTAAGGTTCAACAACTGTGTCTGATACTTTGGGGGATGGGACTACGGAGAAAGTGGTCATGATCCTGTCGGGGTATTCTTCACGGATCTTGGAGATCAGGAGTGTTCCCATGCCGGATCCGGTACCGCCTCCAAGAGAGTGAGCCAGCTGGAATCCCTGAAGGCAATCACAGCCCTCAGCTTCCTTCCTGACTACGTCCAGAACAGAGTCGACGAGTTCGGCTCCCTCGGTGTAATGTCCCTTGGCCCAGTTGTTTCCAGCTCCAGACTGTCCGAAGACGAAGTTGTCAGGTCTGAAGATCTGGCCGAAAGGTCCGGATCGGACGGAGTCCATGGTTCCGGGCTCCAAGTCCACAAGGACAGCACGGGGAACGTACTTGCCTCCTGTGGCCTCGTTGAAGTAGACATTGATTCTCTCCAACTGAAGATCGGAGTCTCCGTGGTAGGTTCCAGTGGGGTCAACACCATGCTCGTCGGAGATAACCTGAAGAAATGGATAGATTAAGGTTTTTGCTACTGCTGGTCGAATAAAATGCTTGATTGTAAATTGGAATCAGTTTCATCCATAAAATTTCGACTGATTACAACGGTGTTTCCTTAAAAGTTGACAAGCCGTCCAAAGTATTTAAAAAGCTATATACTTGAATCAGAAAGTGAGAAAAAGTGTAAATTGAGTGCCTACCTCCCAGAATTTAGAGCCGATCTGGTTGCCGCATTGGCCAGCCTGCAAGTGAACAATTTCTCTCATGGTTAAAATTTAAGACTAAGAGTAGAGTTACGAATAGGAAACTGATAAAATAAAATCTGATTCTCTCCGCCGCTCCCTGCAGTTTTTATTGCCGAAAACGTCTCCTTGGCTACGCACAGCACATGCAAGCAAACATACTTCCTAACTTGCTTGCAGCGGTCACGTGACTGGGGGACAGGTTCACGTGATCATTACATGTGAGCTAAATAGCGCCATGACAAGCAGGTTAGCACTGATACATGTTAAGCAAGGCAGACATTTTTGTATTAATTCTATAGAGACGGTTTTTCTTGCTTGAGGATCTGGTCAAAACAAAAATGATCATGAATTGTTCCTTATTATGTCCTCCAGTAATAACAATAGATTTTATTCCAATTAATAACGCTGTGAAATTTAGAAACTGTTTTTACGTTTACTTTTCGGTCGACAAGTGAACACTTTTAAGTGCGTGAATGTTAGCTGAAAGCTCAGCTTTCAGCTTTGATTCAAAAATTCAAGGGCGTGAAATGAAGGCGTGAAAATAACGAGATTTTGAAGAATAGTGCGGCGTGCATTCTTTCTATTCCTATAAATAATTAGGGACTAGATCGTGAATTCACGATGGTAAATGGTTCTATCTCACTTTAATTTTCGCCCTCCTTTTCAATTTTCCTTTCTGTTTCAGGAGCTGATACCAGAGATGTTCTACCTATCGGAGCTGTTTGTAAATGATAATGGATACGAGCTAGGAGATGATGAGGAGGGTAACTCCGTGAACACCGTCACACTTCCTCCCTGGGCTAAAGATCATCACCACTTCCTGCAGGTTCTTCCAAGTGTTATTTGGGGAGGGGTTATAAGGGATTTGTATAGCTACTTTACTTTGGGGAGGGGTTATAAGGGATTTGTATAGCTACTTTACTTTGGGGAGGGGTTATAAGGGATTTGTATAGCTACTTTACTTTGGGGAGGGGTTATAAGGGATTTGTATAGCTACTTTACTTTGGGGAGGGGTTATAAGGGATTTGTATAGCTACTTTACTTTGGGGAGGGGTTATAAGGGATTTGTATAGCTACTTTACTTTGGGGAGGGGTTATAAGGGATTTGTATAGCTACTTTACTTTGGGGAGGGGTTATAAGGGATTTGTATAGCTACTTTACTTTGGGGAGGGGTTATAAGGGATTTGTATAGCTACTTTACTTTGGGGAGGGGTTATAAGGGATTTGTATAGCTACTTTACTTTGGGGAGGGGTTATAAGGGATTTGTATAGCTACTTTACTTTGGGGAGGGGTTATAAGGGATTTGTATAGCTACTTTGCTTTGGGGAGGGGTTATAAGGGATTTGTATAGCTACTTTACTTTGGGGAGGGGTTATAAGGGATTTGTATAGCTACTTTACTTTGGGGAGGGGTTATAAGGGATTTGTATAGCTACTTTACTTTGGGGAGGGGTTATAAGGGATTTGTATAGCTACTTTACTTTGGGGAGGGGTTATAAGGGATTTGTATAGCTACTTTACTTTGGGGAGGGGTTATAAGGGATTTGTATAGCTACTTTGCTTTGGGGAGGGGTTATAAGGGATTTGTATAGCTACTTTACTTTGGGGAGGGGTTATAAGGGATTTGTATAGCTACTTTACTTTGGGGAGGGGTTATAAGGGATTTGTATACCTACTTTACTTTGGGGAGGGGTTATAAGGGATTTGTATAGCTACTTTGATTTGGGGAGGGGTTTTAAGGGATTTGTATAGCTACTTTACTTTGGTTACATTGGGGAGGGGTTATTTGGGGAGGGGTTATAAGGGATTTGTACTTTACTTTGGTTACATTGGTGTCCTTCGTAGACAATAGTTCTATTTGATTTTTTTGCTCCTACTTCTTGATTTAAATGATTTATCTGAAATTGATTTAAAACTTTAACCAAAAGTTGTGCACATATCAATGCAAGAATGATAAGAATTTTATCGCTAACAATCTCTATTAATTTTTTATTTGCTCTGTCGAAACAATCTACCTTTCATGATGACAGCTTGTGTATAATGTAAATCATAACTTTTGGTTTTAGTTTTAAAGTTAGATTGTCTTATTTTTAGATAACATCAATAACCTGCTGGAGGTTGCCAAAAACTTGAGCTAATAATATTTAAAACAAAACAACTTTTCTAGAATGTCCCAGAATATCCTTATTACAATACTGACCAACAGTCTCCCCGCAGGTGCACCGTGAGGCGCTGGAAAGTGAGTACGTCAGCTCAAACCTCCACAAGTGGATAGATCTGATATTCGGCATCTCTCAGAGGGGTGACCAGGCCCAGGCTGCTATTAATAGGTTAGTGTAACTAGGTGGTAACTAGGTGGTAACTAGGTGGTAACTAGGTGGTAACAGAGGGGTGACCAGGCCCAGACTGCTATTAATAGGTTAGTGTAACTAGGTGGTAACTAGGTGGTAACTAGGTGGTAACTAGGTGGTAACTAGGTGGTAACTAGGTGGTAACTAGGTGGTAACTAGGTGGTAACTAGGTGGTAACTAGGTGGTAACTAGGGGTAACAGAGGGGTGACCAGGCCCAGGCTGCTATTAATAGGTTAGTGCAGGAATGTTGCATTATTGGTAGAAATTGTTAAACGCGGGCATTGAAACTTAGGACGCTCAATTTTCTCAACGACTTTTCATTTTGTACGTTTTAGGTAATGCCATTCGTTACCAAAAATAAGCGAGTTTTTAATCTTTATTTATTGACCCTTCAATTTGACAATTGATATAACAGCTACAAAATATGTAATCTCTCTCTCTTTCAGTTTCTACTACACTACATACGAGGGTTTGTGTGACCCAAGTCAGGTGGATGATCCAATAATCAAGGAGGCACTGGAGGAACAGATAAGAAGTTTCGGACAAACCCCACCTCAACTTCTGACCACGCCCCATCCTGCGCGCAACAGTATTCAACACGTGCTCAATGCTAACATCAAGAATCTCAACGGTTAGTGAAGTGTTAGTGTTTTAACAACGGTCAGTGTTTTAACTGTTTTTATAAAAACAGTTAAAACACTAACACTAGTCGTTTTTATACGACTTTTTAATCATGCAACGATTTATTAAATGTTTGACTCAGATGGCATGACGGCAGCTATGTATCTTAGCGAATTGTTTAAATCTTTACTCACAATTTTTTATTTCATTGTCGTAACAACGAGGTCAATCAATCCCACTTTGAGTCTCTTATTTATGATTTAAGACCAGTAAAACCACATTTCTTTTATAAAATTGTGTTAACATTAAAAATCAAATAAAAACATGCTCTGTGCACTCGTTGCTAGAATAAAAACCCTGCTAAAAAAACAACATAGTCAATTTGAAACTCTAACTTAACCCATTACTTTCATCAGCTTCAACTGAAATAGAAACGAGTAAGACATAACTAAGTGAGGGAGCGAAAGAGAAAGTGAAAGAGAATCATAAGAGAAAGATAACTTTCTCTTATGATTCTCTTTCACTTTCTCTTTCGCTCCCTCACTTGATTTTCATGATCTGTCTGATCATGATTCCCAATCCCTCAGCATCGCCAGTCACCTTTATTTATGTCTGTTTGTTTTAGACACTTTCACTACACTTTCACTTTCACTACAGATCCCCAAGTCTGACTCCGAACTCAATCCACAACGTCTTACTCCAGACTAAACTGGCTCCGTCAACTAATCTGAACAAGCGTCTATTTGTTCTAGAAACTTCCCTCAGACCTCTAGTGTCCAGATAACCCAGTATACTGTGTAGTACTTCCGTAGGAAGGTGGTCCAACCTCATTTTTCTGTGTTTTTCTGACATTGGTAGAAATTCTCTTGATTTACACACGTTTCCCGCCGTGGAAAGGGCTGCCAATTTTTGCGAATGTCTGTACTGTTTCATAACTCTAAACTTAAGAACTGAGCGTGGTTTGTGATTGTTTCTATATCTTGGTTTTTTGATAAATCTTTTTAATGTCTTTTTCCCCTTCTCTGTTTCACTTTTGATCTCACTTTGTTTTGCTGTGGCACTACTCGTGCTATCTTTTAGACTTGATCACATTATTTTTCTTATGAATGTTGGACCATTCGCTCTCGAAGTAAACTCATTCTGTGCCTATCTGCCTGTAAATCGATATGGTTAATCATCAATGAACTATACACATCGTGTTTAAAAATTAGATATAAAAGTACGGCAATCACTTGAATTTATGAGAATTTAATTTTAGATCAACTTCACTGATAGATTATACCCGATTATTTTTAATAACCGCGAGATCACAACTGTAAATAGCAATCAGCAAACTAATAATTCATATGAACTGCCTTGTTTTTGTGCGGGTTATCACGTGTTAAACTAGTAATCACGTGTTAGATAATTAAACTAATTAAATAGCTTTATCCACATGTTAGCTACTCATGTCACTGGCAAACATTCAACACGATATACAAACAATAATTATATCCTAACATTAAAAACATCGTATTCAAACATATCAGCCGAGATATTCAAACATATTACCGCGATATTCGAATGTATTTGCCACCATTTTGAAACACTTTTGACACCAACACCTTTTTCAACTAGCAACAAATAAAAGTTCTCACAAAACTGAATAAACTTAATACACCAAATACAGTTAAACTAATTTGAAATGTATACACAGAGTATAGACTAGTTCTCATTTCACGCTGCACTAAAGTCTCAACATTTATATGTTATGATGATCACCTCATTCTGTGCAATCAGAGGATAGATACAATTTATCAGTGTTCCGGTTATATCGCATTGTTTACATTCTTTACATTCTTCAAGAGATTTTACCGTGTTTACACAGCCTTTTAATCTGTTTTCGCTTATTGGTAATAGTGAAGACATCAAAGATATGATATTGATAAGCCTGAAACTTCCAGACATTTTTAAATCGCTATGTACACACTACTACACACACATTGTGATTGAAGAAGCGAGCACCATCGTGTTTTATGTTGACATGCACATTAGCACATATTTCATAATTTCACTGAGTGGATAATGCGAGCAATAAAACAATGCCATTTGTCAGCACATGTTGATCATCATTATATAATCCTGTGATGGGTGTGTTAGACAGTTGGTCTAGATTCTCTGAATATTTGAACAATTTTTCAACTTCGAATGGTTATCAACCTACAGTCTATTGTCGCTAACATTTGTCGCTAAAAGTGAAAAAGAATACATGGAGAGAAATATTTAAAAAACGAAATCGTCAATAACAATTTACAAAGAGGTTATTGAACTGAATTATTCAAGCGGTCACCATATGCTATGGTCACTGAAGCTTAGTCAAGTGGTTGCAAGAAATCAAGCAAGAAATCACTAACGGGCCACTAAGAAATAATCAGAAGTTCATTTAAAGTATCTAAATGGTAATCAAAAATGCACTTATAGGTTACATATCATTATTAGGTTACATATCTATAGGTTACATAAGTAACCTAGTCTAGTTATACATTACTTTGTCATGTTTTGTTGGAATAAGGTGTAGTAGTGCCAGGTCCCGGTTCAATTTGTAACGGAGTTTTATATTAACAGGGAACGATGTAACTGAGTCGATATGTTTAAGTGTTGCCGTGGGGTGGCGGGTCCCCATGCATCGTGGTTCGGTAGTTTCATTACGTCCTAATATCATTGCACTATTCCTAGCACTAACACCGTGTAACCCCAGGTATAGTATCTGTACTGAACCCAGTGTAACCCCAGGTATAGTATCTGTACTGAACCCAATGTAACCCCAGGTATAATATCTGTACTGAACCCAGTGTAACCCCAGGTATAGTATCTGTACTGAACCCAGTGTAACCCCAGGTATAGTATCTGTACTGAACCCAGTGTAACCCCAGGTATAGTATCTGTACTGAACCCAGTGTAACCCCAGGTATAGTATCTGTACTGAACCCAGTGTAACCCCAGGTATAGTATCTGTACTGAACCCAGTGTAACCCCAGGTATAGTATCTGTACTGAACCCAGTGTAACCCCAGGTATAGTATCTGTACTGAACCCAGTGTAACCCCAGGTATAGTATCTGTACTGAACCCAGTGTAACCCCAGGTATAGTATCTGTACTGAACCCAGTGTAACCCCAGGTATAGTATCTGTACTGAACCCAGTGTAACCCCAGGTATAGTATCTGTACTGAACCCAGTGTAACCCCAGGTATAGTATCTGTACTGAACCCAGTGTAACCCCAGGTATAGTATCTGTACTGAACCCAGTGTAACCCCAGGTATAGTATCTGTACTGAACCCAGTGTAACCCCAGGTATAGTATCTGTACTGAACCCAGTGTAACCCCAGGTATAGTATCTGTACTGAACCCAGTGTAACCCCAGGTATAGTATCTGTACTGAACCCAGTGTAACCCCAGGTATAGTATCTGTACTGAACCCAGTGTAACCCCAGGTATAGTATCTGTACTGAACCCAGTGTAACCCCAGGTATAGTATCTGTACTGAAGCCAGTGTAACCCCAGGTATAGTATCTGTACTGAACCCAGTGTAACCCCAGGTATAGTATCTGTACTGAACCCAGTGTAACCCCAGGTATAGTATCTGTACTGAAGCCAGTGTAACCCCAGGTATAGTATCTGTACTGAACCCAGTGTAACCCCAGGTATAGTATCTGTACTGAACCCAGTGTAACCCCAGGTATAGTATCTGTACTGAACCCAGTGTAACCCCAGGTATAGTATCTGTACTGAAGCCAGTGTAACCCCAGGTATAGTATCTGTACTGAACCCAGTGTAACCCCAGGTATAGTATCTGTACTGAACCCAGTGTAACCCCAGGTATAGTATCTGTACTGAAGCCAGTGTAACCCCAGGTATAGTATCTGTACTGAACCCAGTGTAACCCCAGGTATAGTATCTGTACTGAACCCCGTGTAACCCCAGGTATAGTATCTGTACTGAACCCAGTGTAACCCCAGGTATAGTATCTGTACTGAACCCAGTGTAACCCCAGGTATAGTATCTGTACTGAACCCAGTGTAACCCCAGGTATAGTATCTCTACTGAACCCAGTGTAACCCCAGGTATAGTATCTGTACTGAACCCAGTGTAACCCCAGGTATAGTATCTGTACTGAACGTGTAACCCCAGGTATAGTATCTGTACTGAACGTGTAACCCCAGGTATAGTATCTGTACTGAACCCAGTGTAACCCCAGGTATAGTATCTGTACTGAACCCAGTGTAACCCCAGGTATAGTATCTGTACTGAACCCAGTGTAACCCCAGGTATAGTATCTGTACTGAACCCAGTGTAACCCCAGGTATAGTATCTCTACTGAACCCAGTGTAACCCCAGGTATAGTATCTGTACTGAACCCAGTGTAACCCCAGGTATAGTATCTGTACTGAACCCAGTGTAACTCCAGGTATAGTATCTGTACTGAACCCAGTGTAACCCCAGGTGTAGTATCTGTACTGAACCCAGTGTAACCCCAGGTATAGTATCTGTACTGAACCCAGTGTAACCCCAGGTATAGTATCTGTACTGAACCCAGTGTAACCCCAGGTATAGTATCTGTACTGAACCCAGTGTAACCCCAGGTATAGCATCTGTACTGAACCCAGTGTAACCCCAGGTATAGTATCTGTACTGAACCCAGTGTAACCCCAGGTATAGTATCTGTACTGAACCCAGTGTAACCCCTGGTATAGTATCTGTACTGAACCCAGTGTAACCCCAGGTATAGTATCTGTACTGAACCCAGTGTAACCCCAGGTATAGTATCTGTACTGAACCCAGTGTAACCCCAGGTATAGTATCTGTACTGAACCCAGTGTAACCCCAGGTATAGTATCTGTACTGAACCCAGTGTTACCCCAGGTGTAGTATCTGTACTGAACCCAGTGTTACCCCAGGTGTAGTATCTGTACTGAACCTAGTGTAACCCCAGGTGTAGTATCTGTACTGAACCCAGTGTAACCCCAGGTATAGTATCTGTACTGAACCCAGTGTAACCCCAGGTATAGTATCTGTACTGAACCCAGTGTAACCCCAGGTATAGTATCTGTACTGAACCCAGTGTAACCCCAGGTATAGTATCTGTACTGAACCCAGTGTAACCCCAGGTATAGTATCTGTACTGAACCCAGTGTAACCCCAGGTATAGTATCTGTACTGAACCCAGTGTAACCCCAGGTATAGTATCTGTACTGAACCCAGTGTAACCCCAGGTATAGTATCTGTACTGAACCCAGTGTAACCCCAGGTATAGTATCTGTACTGAACCCAGTGTAACCCCAGGTATAGTATCTGTACTGAACCCAGTGTAACCCCAGGTATAGTATCTGTACTGAACCCAGTGTAACCCCAGGTATAGTATCTGTACTGAACCCAGTGTAACCCCAGGTATAGTATCTGTACTGAACCCAGTGTAACCCCAGGTATAGTATCTGTACTGAACCCAGTGTAACCCCAGGTATAGTATCTGTACTGAACCCAGTGTAACCCCAGGTATAGTATCTGTACTGAACCCAGTGTAACCCCAGGTATAGTATCTGTACTGAACCCAGTGTAACCCCAGGTATAGTATCTGTACTGAACCCAGTGTAACCCCAGGTATAGTATCTGTACTGAACCCAGTGTAACCCCAGGTATAGTATCTGTACTGAACCCAGTGTAACCCCAGGTATAGTATCTGTACTGAACCCAGTGTAACTCCAGGTATAGTATCTGTACTGAACCCAGTGTAACCCCAGGTATAGTATCTGTACTGAACCCAGTGTAACCCCAGGTATAGTATCTGTACTGAACCCAGTGTAACCCCAGGTATAGTATCTGTACTGAACCCAGTGTAACCCCAGGTATAGTATCTGTACTGAACCCAGTGTAACCCCAGGTATAGTATCTGTACTGAACCCAGTGAAAGATCACCCAGTAACGCTCGTTAAACCCCTCCTTAATCCTTCACTCCACTCTTCTCCTGTGCTCTTCACTGTTTCTGCTAACCAAACTATTACTACCAACAAATTCGTACCTTCAAGTGAGTAACATTTAGTTTCTCTTTCTGTTTTTGTTTAATATAAGTGTCACTTTTGTTGAACGAATTTGAAATTTTAAATATTTTAAGAGCCCATCTGCTGAGTAATCAGCAATTCTTATCGCCTAAATATTTCAATGCAGTCATCTTTTCCTAACTCTATAAATACCTCAGTTCAGAATGCGTACCAAGTATTCGTAGAGTCAGACCCCTCCCCGCGCCATGTGAAGGACCCAATGGACCCGACATTATCTTCTCTCCCCTCAAGCTATGCTGTGTCACCTGACGGTAAAGTTCTCTTTTGTGCAGGCTTCTGGGATAGTTCCTTCAAGAGTTTCGCTGTTGACACAGGCAAACAGGTACTGTATCCTTTCTTTTTAGAAACTTCTGTTCCTCAATAATGTTTCAAGCTCCTTTAGTTTTTCATCATTTCATCGGCTAAATTTTAGTTAAAATTGCAATCTTAACATGTATACTTAATATTTATATTTATTAATGTTCTGTGTTCCCTGTGAAAGAACCTGCGACTGAACTCCCCCTCCATGACAGGTTCAAGCGATGTTTGGACACCGAGACTTGGTTACGTGTATCTCTATCACTGATGTCGCTATTTCTCTTCACGTTCCACATACCCGACTTGCGGACGGTAAGTTATTTTCCTGACATCACCCCAGTAAAGATTGTGTCCCATGCAAGCTGATATTCTGATAAAAGCTATACATATTTCGCAATTTCACTGAGTGGATGAGCGAGAAGAGTAATAAAACAATGCCATTTGTCAGCACACATGTTGATCAATACAAATTATCATGTGATGGGTGTGGTGCTCCGCTACAATGACCATTATACTGAGTATTTGAAATATTTGAACGATGTTGTAAGAGTAAAAGGAAATTGTGATCCAGCTGAAAAATGTAGATGTTGTAAGGTTCCAGGAAGGAATTATAAAAATGCAGTCAAACACCAAGAATTTACATCAAATTACACTGTGTAATGCTGTACTATATGCTCTATCTTAAAAGATTTCAAATAAAATGATACAGATATTTAGACTTATCTCGTGGTATAGCGCGAGTTTCTCTAAACAGATTGTGTGATATAAACTTTAATTCAGGGATAATAGTGACCGGGTCACGTGACGCTACAGTCTGTGTGTGGGACTGGAGTGGGAAAATACAGAGAGTAACAGGAATCGACGGAAAACATGGTCAGTCTTCTTGTTAATTTGCCGGCTGCAAATTAACTCGCTGCAATCGAGGAAACTTTTTTTATCAGATAATTTTCGCCGCCGTTTCACTTTCAGTGCTTCACTACGCACAATGTTTCACTAGACTTAAATGTCACTCAGAGTATTTCACTAAATTTTAGTATTCCACAGTATTAACATTTAACTCCTAGTATTTCACAGTATTAACATTTCACTCACAGTATTTCACAATACTAACATTTCACTCACAATATTAACATTTCACTCACAACATTTCACAATATTAACATTTCACTCACAGCGTTTCACTATATTAACATTTCACTCACAATATTAACATTTCACTCACAGCGTTTCACTATATTAACATTTCACTCACAGTATTTCACAATATTAACATTTCACTCACAGCGTTTCACTATATTAACATTTCACTCACAGCATTTCACAATATTAACATTTCACTCACAGCGTTTCACTATATTAACATTTCACTCACAGCGTTTCACTATATTAACATTTCAGTCACAGCGTTTCACTATATTAACATTTCACTCCCTCAGCCTCAGCTCGGTCAGTGCTGACTGGTCATGTGGGTCAGGTGGAATGTGTACACGTGAGTGGTGAGCAGGGAACTGTAGTCAGTGCTAGCAGAACTAGCCCCATACTCCTGCACCGCGTGACTGGAGAACTCATCCGCAAAATAAAGTGAGTTTCGGAATTTGAAGTTGACTTAAGTTGAAACTTCACCACCAAGTTTTTGCACCAGTGAGAAATGAAGATACTCTTAGATTCATTGGATGATTAACTTGTCATGGTGTAATATCCGAATTATCTAATTATTGTCTAATTATCTAATTATCTAATTGCTTTGTTTATCCCTTAATTAATCTCGATTACTCTCTCAGAGTTCCGCCCCAATTTATGATACCCTCGAGTATTTTGATAACAAAACGTTGCGAAATAGTCGCTCACTACGCCGACCAGTCGGGGTACTTGGCCGTCTTCTCTGCTAACGGACATATCATGATCACTCAGGAGCTCCAGGTATGTTGTTAGTTAATTAAGCAATTAATTATTTTGGTATCATTACATAATTGCCTCATAACTCATTACTAATTTATTTGACAGCGAGGTGTACGATAAATGTATACATGATGAAGATTTGAACATGATATCTACACAATGTGATCTTGTTTGTGCTATTAAATTAATTAATTAACTAATTACCCTATCAGGAGCAAGTACTGAGCATGATATGTGACAGGGAAGGCAACTTCCTGATAACCGGAGGGTTTAACTTGACGCCCGTTGTAAGGAGCATTAAAACTCTCTCGCCTGTCCTGAGATTGGCCCCCTGCCAGAGTGCCGTCAGAGTACTGTCTCTCAGCCAGGATCAGAGGTCAGTCTTTTGTTGATTTAATCAATTAATTAAATTAATTTATAATATTATAAATCGATTGGTTAATTAGTTCGTTATAAATGGACGTAATACGCGATAAACCCGTTACTGTTGTAACCTTTTGATGGATATAACAACAACTTTTGATGGATATTACAAAAATAAACGTCTTCCTTGTTTGATGGATATTACAAAAATAAACGTCTTCCTTGTTCAGGTTCCTGATCGCTGGTCTAACCAACGGAACTATAAATATCTACCCAGTAGATCTACGGAGAATAGTGGGAGACAACTATGCTACTGCGGGCAATCAATGAGTAGCAAAATTAGCCAATTAATTAATTGGACAATTAGGGTAATTAATCCTCTTCTCTGGATGTGTAAATTGTTATTTGGGACTATGACCGCGTTATTGGGACTAGAGAATTGAAATATTTCCAGAGACTCTTCAAATGATTGTTGAGTCTGTATTCAGATATTGTTTAAAAGTTCTACGATTAAAGCGTTTATTTATTCGTCGATTCTCAATTCTTTGCCTCTTTAATGTTTTCGTAATTTATTCGTGAACGTCAAATTTACCATTTGCCACGATGCAGCACAAAGTTATAATATTGTAGATCTAGATTATTTAAATGACTTAATTTGTATTTTCAGTTGCAGACCAGTTTTAATCGAGGTACATTCTGGAATTGAGAGCATTGTAATTACAATTTAAAGATTTATTGATAAATTCCGATATTTAAACGTAAATTTGATATTGTTGCTAGTGATATGTGACACTTCAATTTACAATTTACTTTTAGTGAGTGATTCACATGAAGATTGCAGATTTAATTTTTTGTCGAAGCCGGCTTTGACTTTATGTATTTATGCTTTTAGATTTAATTTTAATGGTTGAAGTATTAGGAATCTGATTTGATTTTAATGTCGAGTTGAAGTGTTTGAATCTGGTTGGAATCGAGTTAAAATATTGCCCAGACCTTATTGTCAATTCGAGTATCTCAGTGAAGTTATACGTTTGTGACTTTTCTTTTAAATATTTCGAATATTTGTGCTTTAAATTAAAAAAGTTAGTAGAAATCTCAGTCACAAGGTTTACGTAATAACTTTGATTCACGATGTCAATCCTTCGCATCTCGCCGATCTGCATATGGCATACATGTGGTTGCGAGAAGATGCGCGGCGCAGCCCAGTAGTGCATAGCCCTACAAGTAATAACTCGGTTTTACACTTCTCTGCCTGGAATAAATATTTCAACGTTATTTTTTGTGGAACTGTTAGTGTTAGTGCTGATGGATATACAGGGACTCCAGTGTATCTTGATAATGATATTGAATTTGAACATTATTGATATTCTTTATTTCAACTTGATTATATTTATCCCTATCGGTCGCTTTCCTTCTTCTATTATTCGTCTTTTCATCAACTATTTTATGAATATTGTCCATTGTTAATGGACTACCCGGCGCGCGCTACTTCGTAGCACTTGCCTCTGGCATAATAATGCTTAATCGAGAAGAAAACGGCGCGCGCTACCTCGTAAAATACGAGCGTGCTAAATCACTACAGTGTACAGTCGATCTTCGAGATTGTTCTAAAATGGCCCCTGACAGTTGAAACCGTCGTTATTTACAGTTATTTTCGAACGCTGATGCCGAATCACCCCCATGACATAGTACAGTGTTAAAATGTTCCCCTGACGAGATATTTCAAATAACGGAGTAGTTCGCTGTTTATTAGTCTCATGATTGAAATACTGATATCTGGATAATATCCGGTTGGAAGGGACAAGGACAAATGAAACAAGGAAGTTAGGAGTAAGGGCACATTTTCGGCGTCAACGCCATCTCCAACCGGATATTATCCAGATATCAGTATGACGAGATATTGTCGAAAAAGTGTCTCGATCACGTGATATGCATGACAGTATAAGGAAGTTAGTCTATATAATTTATCGTTAGGGTTAGCAGTTAGGGTTTCAGCATATGCTTTTGTTAAGGGTTGGGATCGGATTAAAGGGTTAGGATTTCGAATAGTCGTTCAGGACCAGCTGTAGAGAACGGGTTGCAAAAGTCACGTGACAGTCGAGTGTTACTCTATCCAGAGCCCTTGCGCTTGCAGTAGCGCGCGCCCGAAGTGGCGCGAAAGCACATGGTTAGGTGAAGTCGAGTGTAGAGTGATTAATCATCATCCCGTAAAATATTTGTTTTTATAAGACTGAAGACCGCGTTGCGCGTCGATGAGTCCAACTCTGCGCGCGTTTTGGTAGGTTATAAACCTACAACTCGAGTTGTGATCACATATAACCCTAATTTATATAACTTTGAACTTATAATCAGACTAGACTGGTCGATGGGTCCATTTTAGTGTTTCCAATGTGTGTTTCCAATGCAATCAGCAATGCGCATGAGCGCTTTTATGTTTTTGAGCTTCTCGCACATACGTCATACGTAATAGTACTAGCGATCGAGCAAAAAATAGCAAACTAGGTAATTCACATACGACATAGCCATGATCAGTAACACGAAGGTAAAAGCTTAATTCTGCTTGTAGCGCGATGCGTTACTGTGCCGCGCCGCGCACTCAATCAGGCTTCTCTCGCTAGATCGGCGAAATGCGCTACTGTGCCGTGCCTCGCCGAGCTGCGATGAATTGACATCGTCTGCAATTAATATATTGTAGTGCAATGCGTTACTGGGCCGCGCCGCACACTCAATTATGCTTTTCGCAACCACACTCGCTAAATCGGCGAAACGCGCTACTGGGCCTCGCCGAGCTGCGATGAATTGACATTGTCAATTAATCACTATATAGTGCTAGCGTATACTTTAATAACGTTCATTCTCCCGGCAAGATCAAGATCACACATATTATATATATAAAGAGCCTCTACTATTATGTACATTGTACTGTGGCTGTAAAATAAACATCAACATTTTGGATCTTGTAGCGCTATGCACTACTGGGCCGCGCCGCGCATCTTTTCGCAACCACAGATCGGCGAGATGCGAAGGATTGACATCGTAGATAAATTTGGATCCGACTGCTTGATGCTTGGCCATTGGCTATGAAACTCCATAATCATAACTTGGAGCCATAACTGTCCCATGTACTGCGAAAATCGTTAATGATGATAAGGAGTAAAATCTCCCGAATAGTTAGACTAAGACAAGGCAAAGTTGATAAGTTGTAGGTTTACAACCTACCAGGACGCGCGCCGAGTTGGACTCGTCGACGGTCCAATATATGGAACAGATATTTTACGAGTATCACCCGTTAATTGATAAGGTATCGTATTTAAATTAGATCGAGGTGCTATAATATCCTCAATTTGATTTCTGATACAGTAAAAGGTCAGTGAATTACAAAATGGTTTCTGACAAACTTTGTTTTCCTTTGCTTCAGTCAGTTAAATGCTGGCCGATGGTAATACCCAAATTTTTACAGAACAGTACTATACATAATCTTAAATTTGATCCTTCGAACAGCTGTTGAGCAATGAAACGCAAACATAATCTTAGCAAAATGAATATATTTCTTTTATCTTCAGCATTTAATCAGTCACATAATCTGAGAATATCAATGGTTAGTTTGAAAATGTCAAAAATTCTCATCAAAAATGTAGTAAAGTCTCAAAAAATTAATTAATTAATTTAGCATCTCGTCAAAATGGAATAGTTTAAAATCGGAATAAAATTAATGGCATATACTATAATAATGTGTAATTACAGTACTATACACTTAGATTGTATTTTGGAACGGTCCTTCCTCTTACTGGGCCGCGCTCAGCCTGTCATTCCGCTGAATCTCTATTCTATGTTTATGAATATATATATAGACCTCAGGCATGAAAACAGCATTCATGATCCATGATATAAGGGTTGAATGAGGAAGGATTACCTGAGGTCCCCAGGTAATCCTTCCTCATTCAACCCTTATATCATGGATCATGAATGCTGTTTTCATTCTTCATTTAATTTTTGCTATCAAACATTTTATGCTGAAAATCGTACATAGATTTCCATCAACTATTCATAGTGAGCTGCCTTTTGGAATTAAGAGTTGTATGTCACTGGACTGTTTTAAAGTGAATCTGAAAATGTTTATTTTCAAGTGTGCTAATGGTAATATCGTGAGTATTGACTCACGAACTAGTTTCTTAAACTGCTACCTCTATACGAGTTATATCTTAGCATTTTTTCTGTTCTTACTGGAAAGTGCATACACATTAACTCGTTATTTTTGTATATTAGGTAGACTTTAAAGTTTTTCAGGGTTTAGAATTGAAATATGGATTGGTTTTCCAGGTTTTTCTTGTACCCTGAAATGATTCCAGAAAATTGTACCAGTGCAGTTAGCAGTGGCGTAATGTTGCCTGTTGGCGCCCCGCCGAAAATGTGCCCCCCTGTTGGCACCCCCTCCCCTTTTGGCGCCCCTCCCTAAAATTGAACAAATTAGGTGATGTTAGAGGATACGCAGATGAAATCTCTAAAAAAATGTGTTTCTAGAGCAAAACGTTCAGTTTTGCTATTACCTCCGTTAAGTTTTTCAAAATTGTCCCACATTCAAACGACGATTTTGCGCCCCCCTAAGATGGCGCCCCTCCCCTCGTAGAAGGGCATGATTATTTACACCACTAAGCATCTGGATGGATAATTAGCATACAAGGATGAACTGACCTCTAAATATGACCACCAGCTATGTCATGTAACTATAGCTCCGAAATAAATGAATTGCTCTACATAGATACATCTGGTCTGATCTTATTACACTGTGGTCCCCAGGGGTTCGGTAAAGCCCTTACAGGCAACTGGGTCCTTTTACCAGCCACAATTAAATTGGTCCTGCCAGATCTGTCACAAACTGTAGCAAACTGTTTTAAAAATTAGATAGTTCTTAGCTAGAATTTTAAAATTTAAGTTATAGATCAATTTTCTCAATTTTATAATTCAAGAATAATCTTTTGACGTAACTATGATGAGGTGGCATTTCATACTTAACTAAAATTCAACTTTGAACAACTAGATTATTAGTTACGTACAATAAATTATAGTTTAAGACATCCATTCTGCTGTGTGTTTCCAATATTATAGTTTATGATATGTATTGATTGAAAAATTGGTAATAAATTTAACTTTTGTTTTGTGGCGCACCTATTATATGCATTTATTAAGTCGTTGTACCACTATAACATAATAGTTTAAATTATTGTTATTGTTATTAATCTAGTATTTTTTTCATCTAGTTTTATTCACTGTTATATAATTCACATAGGCCATGTCCTGTATAGAGCACATAGCAGAATTACGGCAGCAACAAAATAAAACACTCGAACTCTATAAAGAATTATACGACAGTTTTGTTGCTCCAAAGTCAGAATCTTTCAGAAATAAGTGAGTGTCTAATTATATAGATAATTGAGTACTATACAAGGTATAAAAACGAAATTAAAACAAGTTCCTTGTAATTCAACTTATTAAAACTGGGTGAATTTGAATATTTGAATTTATAATTACTTAATTGTACTAAAATAACAAGTTATGGAATATATTACTCTCGAATGGATTGTAATGGAGAGTTCAGACCAATGAAATTAATATCATGTAATTGAAATGAATAAGAAACGTGGAAACAACAATGATCACATTTATCTTTCAGTGATACCAGCGTAATAGATAGAAGTGTCATTTTAGATAAAGCAAATGCTTCTAGATATAAAGCAACTGACTACCAAGATGTCTCTGCTATGGTAGAAGAATCACAGCAATCATTGGATTCAACATGTGATATTCCTAGGATGGTATTATTCTACTATTTGTAGTTCACTATTGATTTGCAATAAGATAGATTTCGAATACTTAGAATTAGGGATTTCCATCATCAAATGTATTATGTTCTTTGCAGAGATTTATGTTTAAAACCTGAGCTGAGGTTTGAAAACATTTTTAAGCTTGATCATAATAAAAAACTCTGTTATTATGTGTACCATTGGATTGTGACAGATGAAGTTCACATAGTATTCGATTTCAGACTTCCCAGAACACGACTATATCAGAAATGTGGAACAACTTCAGTGTAGATAAATATGCTCCACGGGAGGAAAAACCTTCAGTCAAATGCAGGTCTGCTCCACCAGTTAAGAAAAGCAAGCCTCGAATACCTCGTGTTACAGTCCCTGATCCCTTTTATATGACTCTAAGAGAGGAGTTGAAAAAACCTTCCAAAACTAAAGGTTTTAAATAGCACATATGTTTTTTAAGTGACTTTATTTTCTGTATCTACAATCATTTTCAATTTCATTGTTTTAAGCTATGTATTTCGAATTGAACTAATTTGTTAAAATCAGCCAATGGATGATATATTTGAATCTTGGTTACGATCTTTAATAACTATAACCTTATGTGTCTCCCTATGAATTAATAAAATTCTTGTTAATTGACTTAACCTACAGCACAAGAGGAAGCTGAGCTAAAGCGAATCCAAAAAGAGCTGGAAGAAGAGACAGAATGTAAGAAACAGTTCAAAGCATCTCCTCTTCCTCTCTCAACATTCCAAAGCAGGCTGAAACACATTGAGGAAAAACAGGTTTGTATTCAAACAACAACTTGGTTATAATGAAAATATGTGTTCTAGATACAATTACAATCATTGTCAATCGGTTACAATTAATGAATAATATCAATATGGTTACTCAGGAAGCTCGGCGCAATAACGTTAAAGCGCAGAGTAAAGTGCTAACAAAAGCACTACAAAAACCTTTCTCTTTTGATCAACGCACCAAACTGAGGAGGAGCCGGTCTCTGTCTGCTCTGGATACTGAAGTAAAAAAGAGGAAGAATGTTAAGTTCCATGCTAGACCCATGCCTCATCACATTTTTGAGTGAGTATGTTGTATATTTTCGGGAAATATAAATCAAATCAAATGATAATGACACTTACATCATTACACGTGATCATAAATATTTCTGCAAAAATTTATAAATTAAAATAAAAGTCTAGGTTCAAAGACCCGGTAAAAATCTAACTAATTATACTTTCCAGAACTAGACATTACCACTTGATCTTGGGTTATCATTAAAGTCTAAATGTAGAACTGTACAATGTACATTTAGTAGGATTGAACTTTAAAAGCCACTAACTTTCCCACATTTCTAGTAGTGTCATGCTGAGACGCATTTCCAATTGGAACAAATTTCTGAATTACAGTGATACTCACGGTAAATAGAGATTAATATATGGGCACTTTGTTAACGAATCTGTCACGGGAAAATTTCAACTTCTAGAAGCTCTCATTTGGTGGGTATACTCAATATTTTGATTAAACTGTGCGACATCTACAGATTTGCGATAGTACAACTTTTACAAAAAGAATTAAATGTCTACTAAATCTATGAGCAGAGATACATGCATTTAACTCCGGGCTAATAATGGTGGATATACTTTTCAGAGGGGTTTGGTGGATATATCATTTGTTGGCCTGTAACTTTACATGTGGTTAATTTATGGTGATTATTTAAAGATAGAATTGTAGCAAATCGATTAGCCTCTATGATAAAAGGCAAAAATAAGGAAAGATTTCAAATTTAAGGCTATATATATGGTGGATAATAAAACTATGAAATAAAATTCAAAACCGAAAATTTTCAACTGAAACAATTATATTGGTCAACAAGTTCATCAGCTTTACTCAGTGAACGGATCAGGTTGGAAATCGTTTTAAGTTTATGATAGAATAGAAGATTTATTTTCTAGGCCATTTTTGGTGGATATATTGGAGCTTCAAGATTGATTTAGTTTTTAGTCAATTTCTGTGTCAATAATGCAGGTTATCCATTGTTGGACCCCAATTATCTCGTCTTGAAGCTGAAAATGTATACAATTATTGCTCTAGGGCCATTACGAATGGATATAGTTTCATACGAACTTAACAAACTGTCTCCTTTCAGAGTTAATAGCCGTTTTTGGACTTTGGTGGATAAAAGCACACAAACGGGAAAATTTGCTTTTTTATCCACTATTTTTGACCCTAGATGTGTTCTATCATGAAACTACAACTGTTTCTAGATAGAAGATCCCCTTTGCTGAGTCAGTTCAAAAGAATTCTTAGTCCAAGCCGACTTTTAAGGTTAAAATTGGTGGATATTAAATGTGAATAACCTACCTCACTGATTGAAATAACGATTTCTTGACATTAATGTATGTGATCCACTTTCAACGCCCAATAATTACTGGCCTTAGATTTGCTCAATTATGAAATCATACACTGATATTGGTTTTTTTAGACCTTTTTCTTGTTCAGCACAAAATGTGATAATCTCAAGCCGACTTTTAAGGCCAAAATTGATGGATATTAAAATATCCAGGTCGATATTTTAAGTATTTTTGAGTTAATTATCCACCAAATTGGCCCTGAATGCTTAAAATGCCATAGTACCTTATGCATAAATGTTCAACATCTTATAATTTCATCTTTTTTAACTGTTTCTAATCCTAATGATGCCTTCTTTATTGATATTTTGGTAGCATTTACGTGTTTAACTAATTCATATTGACTGATATCCACCAAAAATAGCCTTTTAACTTAAATCTCGAACTTTATAGTTGATGCCATAGATTTAACGTTGCCTTCGCACCATTTTAAGACCAGTAAATTGATGTTAGCTAACAAATAACAGTCTTAAAAAAAGAGGTAAAAAAATATATCCACCAAATTTGCCCCTTAAGAAAATTTGCAGTCCTTCTTATGAAATTATGAAGTTATAACAATTATTGTTAAGTCTCAATCATATTTTAGGAGTTTAGATGGAATTAAATATTTTTAAAGGGCCACCTGAAGTGGATTGGTCTGTTTCACTTTTATCCACCAGATTTGGCCCAAAATCGAAACAAAAAGTGGCAAAAAGTAAAGGTTAGGGTATTGCACACCATATCCTGGAGTTTCATCATGTTCCAAAAATTATCCACCAAATTATGCCACAAAAACTGATTTTTGGTAAATTTTAACATTTTTTCCGTGACAGATGTCTTTGAAAGTGCCCATATAATAATAGAGATTAATATATATAGAGCTGAGATTAATATATATTATAGAGATGCTACAAAAGTGTTTGTTTCTCGGGTTCAAGTGCTCTACTAAACAAATAGGAGCTTTTTATAAGCGTAACAAAGTAAACGATGTTATTGCCCAACTAAAAGTTTCATGTGGATGTGTGAACAATAATCTTCAGCGATACTATAATATAGAGATGCTATATATGTATATATGTATATGGCTATGCATGTTACCTCTTCCGCACGATCTATTTCATTCTATCTTTGGTCGTACCGGAACAGTTTTATATCACCTGTCTGTCGTTGACTACTCTTTCGCAGTTTATTAGTTTATTATTTAGCTTTCAAGCAGTATATTATTTTGTTTTCCATATTCATTCAGACTTTTACTTAAGTCTAGTTATACATTACTTTATCATATTTTATCGAACTAAGGTGTAGTTCATTTTGTAACGGAGTTTTATATTAACAGGAAACGATGTAACAGATATATTTTAATGTTGCCATGGGGTGGCAAGTCCCCATACATCGTGGTCCGGTAGTTTCATTTAAGAACAAATTGCCATGCGAAAACCATGAATAGTCAACATGATTAAATCCATAACCGTGTCTGTATTTTCTGAAACGTCCAAAAATGTACAGGGAGAGGTGGAATGGTTGGAATCTGCATAGTAACGCATGAAATGCATTATGTTGTGATTTGGGATACATATGATGTGGTCGCGCATAGCAACGCACTAATTACGTCTTGTTTAGTGCAAGTTTTGTATTTATCTTGGAATGGTCATAACTTTGGCTATAATTGATATTATTCGATGCGTTAAAAAGCAGAGCTTTGGTGTTAATGAGATATTCTGAATGTATTGACAGGAAGCCTGACGTAATGACTTTGACAAAGATACAGAACTCATTTATTTGGCTGCCGAACGCATTTTTAGCAATGAGCCCTTTTTAACTTACTGGTCCATTAAGACACAGTACACAGTACACAGTACACAGTACACTGAGTATACAGTACACTGAGTATACAGTACACAGTATACAGTACACTGAGTATACAGTACACTGAGTATACAGTACACAGTATACAGTACACTGAGTACATAGTACACAGTATATGCAGTACACAGTATATGCAGTATACAGTATACAGTATACAGTACCTATACAGTACACAGTACACAGTACACAGTACACAGTTTACAGTATACAGTACACAGTACACAGTTTACAGTATACAGTACACAGTACACAGTAAACAGTACACAGTTTACAGTAAACAGTATACAGTATACAGTACACAGTACACTGAGTACATAGTTCACAGTACACAGTACACCGTGCGGCGTGCACGTCTGTACACGCCCTACAGTATTCAACACTTTTATTCCCTGCAATGAATTTTATACTATTAATTTTCAGTCCGCTTGTGGATGAGAAAGCTAAAGAGGAAGAAGCTTACAGACTGATAAAGATGAAGATGAGAGCGGAACAGTTGCTGGCTGAAAGTGATCTGCCTCGAAACATGAAACGTCACGCAATTCATTACACGGGTAACCAGTTAAGTAATTGATTGAAATTTAATTGTATCGTCTCATCTTGTTGATTTAATATACTTAAATTAAGTAGAGTAAGTTAACTATACTGCTTGTTTGTGGTAGATGGTAAGATCCGGAGGTTAATGAGAGAGGAAAACGAAACAAGGGCTCACCTAACTGAGGAACATACATTTACACCAGCTATTAAAGATTATGTCCCTGACTACAGCTTACTGGTAATATGTAATGGTGATAACACTACTTTATCTTAAATTAGTGGATTTTAACCTTAGAAAGTTAGAAGTGTCAACAAATTGCAATATTTATCTTTATCATATATCCGCATTTCAGCCTCATATATCCGCATTTCAGCACAAGCAACAGGAAGCAGAAATCCTGGAGCGTCAGTCAGCAAAACCCACTACAGTCATAGAACCGTTTAATCTGCGAACGGAGCAACTCGCACAATTCAGACAGCAGAATCCTAAAACACCACCACCACAATGCGAGTCTCCTACTTTTAGAACCAAATCTCGTTCTCCGTGTTTGTACACAGGTAATATTTTATGGCTTAACTAATTGTCATTTTTGGACATGTTTCCTTTTTTCGGTATTATAAAAGTGCTGACTTTGACTTTGTTGGTAGTAATAGTCTTATGTTGTTTGAGAAGATAGTGCTGATTATAAACAATTTAAGGAATAAAAACGATTTTTTCACTGCATTATTTAGGTGTTTACGATGAAGTGGTACTAGCGAGGCCAACTGTTGGCAGCAATCTTAGAGATTCTGCCACCAGACAAAAAATATTGCAGGTAATTACGCTGTTATATAATTAACTGATATCTTCATATTACATGGGGTGGCAAGTCCGATCATAGTCCTAATAAACATCCGAATGTGTGCTCATCGGTAGAAAAAGGACTTGTCGGACGTTTAGTAGAATATTGAAAACTTAATTTGTTTTAAATTCTATTTACTGAAGCGATTCCATTCTCCATGAGAATAAGTGGGCAGATTTTAAAATATAATATCCTTTTTTCAGGAGAAGAAGAAAGCCCAGGTTGACTACGAGCAAGATTTATCGAACAAAGTAAAGCAGATTCAGATTAGGAAAAGTATCGCAGAAAAAAGTAAGGCTCTGGATCCATCTCATTCAGTTAAAGCAGCTACTCAGCAAAAGTTGAAAGAAAAGATGTTAGTAATTGATAAATTTGTTTTTTTCAACTGGTTTATCGGGTTAACTAAAAACGATTTTAAAAATAGTATTTTCAAAATACGAACCCCAAACTAGTGTAATTCCATGAATGCCAGGGAATAAATACTGATTCATTATAGTACACGGTACTATCCTAGATAATAGATACACTAATAGTTTAGCCACTATTTTGCGGGATGAGCGTGTCTGATGTCTCAATGTAAGAAATTCTTCATATTTGGCAGTTAAAAATGGTAAATTTTAATTGTTCTTGTGATCTTTTAATTGACGAAACACATTATTATTGCAGTGCCCAGCAAAAGCAGAGAGAGTTGGAATACAAGGAAAAGTTGGACGAAATGAAAGATAAATTAAAAGATCGACCTTACCTGTTTGAAAGAATTTCCATGGTAAAAACATAGTGTCACTTTATATTAAATTATAATTATGTACAAAGCAGTAATTAGGGGAGCTGTAAATGGAGAGAGAGAGTGTGTGAGAGAGGGACAAAAAGTGAGTAACTTTAATATCACATTTGCAGTATAAAACCATCAATTAAACCACTTACCACCGGCCGATCTTTAAAAAATTTGCACATTGGCTTTTTCAGACTTTCAGAGTTTTTTCGAAACTATTCCGGAAAAACCAGTCCCATAACTCTTACCGTTTTCTTGATTAAACCGTTAGGAAATTACCCACAGACAGACCCACATACAGACAGACAGACACTCACACACATTTTGGGATTATTATTATTGATGACGAACTTCCCATCGGTTTATGATGTATGCCCCATGTGTCACGACGCTTTTGTCCCTATAACGGTTATGTTAACATGCCAGTCAAATCCAGTCATTGCGCGCGCTTTGCGACTACGTAAGGCGCAGAGACTTACTCGATACGAAATCACGTTGTTCCAGTCATGTTTGTTGATTTTCAAAAAAATATAAAGCTACAAAATTCATTTTACGAAATGTACCGTGTTGATTGTGTATGTGTTGATTGTGCGATGGATTGTCCCACATCTGACGTACAGCCCATTGCGAATACAGTTTAAAGTTGAGTTAAGCCGTTATAATCAGTTAATTTTAAAATACCGAGGTCGGCAAATAAACACAGGGCGATCCGCGAGCTTAGAAAACGATTTTCATAGGTTCTACATTTTTCCTGTTGATGTATTGTGGAGACAATAGACATCTATCTTGTAAGTCTTTGGAGTGATACAGATTTAAAACTACTTACCCAGATAAATAGAAAGTATGGTTGATAGTAAAACAAGTTATGATTAGTTTGATATAATATTTGAAAACCACAAAACGTTTTCAATTGTTTAAATTCATAAAAAGTTGGAAAATGTACTGTTTTGCCAAATTAAACAACCAACAACTTACTGGGCGGCGCTCAGCCTGTCATTCCGCCGAATCTCTATTCTATGTTTAATGTTTATGAACATTATAGCCTGGGGTCCTCAGGTAACCAACAACAACATGACACATTTCGGTCATTTTTAATCAGATTCGCTAGAAATTTGTTTAGGAAACCAAACAGCTAACACCCATTAAAAACAAGAAATGACGCAAGAGAAGGTTTAATTGGAAAAAAACGAACCAGCCATATTATATCACATATATTATTATATTATATCGTTTAATAAAAGTCGGAAAACCCCAAATATGGGACTGAGGCATGGTGTGAAATTGATTTTGAAACCTTTTAAAAAATGCGCAATGTTTGCGAAAATCGCGCAAAAACCTTTCAGTCAAGTTTCTCTAATTTCTCCTTTTCTTGTGAGTGAGAAAAAATAGTTTCAGTTGACCACGGAGCATAACATTTTTACTTTTAAATCACACTATTGGCTATTATTTCAGGAGACTGCAAGACTTAGCGCCGATAAAGCTTTTAGAAAGGCGTTACAAAATGCTGGACTGGACACATCTCTGATTGAGGACATTTCGAACTATGAAGAAGACAGCTTAATGTAATGACCTATGTGGAAATAATATTATTGCGTATTTTATGTGGATGTTGCTGTATTTGATGACGGAAACTTTAAGCTGTTGACATTAATGACGTTTTTTCGATGTATATTATGTTTCGGATTTTTTATCGCTATATTTAATGAAGCGCCACGTAATCATTAATGTTCGTGTAATCGTGCCCTTAACTTTATGGGCCAGACTGAATACGGGGGCATTCGACTGAAATTTTGAAGGGCCGGTGACTGTAGGGCAGCCATGAACATTTTAAAATTTGTTATAAAAAGTCTCCATATTTCGCATAAAATTTCTGTCCAAATTTATTCATAATTTGAATCAACCATAAACGTTTAAAATATTGTCGGTAAATAAAATGAGACAAATCTGTAATAATATAATAACGATAATATAATATCTACATTAAGAGCATACCTCAAATTTCACACAAATAGCAATTGACACACACAATTCCACAGCATCGGCTAAGTTTAGAGTTATAAAGCATGGAAGAGGTATGCAAATCAAAAGTTCAGATATCGATTATATAGTAGGGTATATTAATACATTGTCGTTCAACTGCTATCTCGAAATCAAGTTTCATCCAGTATTGGTATGAGGGAATATCATGCTAAATATGGGCCCTGTGGAAACCGGTGGGCACTGCACCTTGGGTTCGCAACCTCTCCCTCTTCGACTGTCGCGACAATAAAAACAGTGTGAGAAGTATTTTCACATAAAACTTAATTTCCCAACCATCGATTTCCAAAATTCAAAAATGAGCAGAGAAAATTCTGAATTTTTCTAGCTCCGAAAAGTTTTACCGACTGACTGAAAAACCCAGGAATATTATGGTTTTTATCACCACTTTGATTGTTATAGTATTTATAAACAAGCACAATCTTCTGTTACTGGTAAAAGGAGCACAATGCCTACTGTTACTGCAGTAAAAGGAGCACAATGCTTACTGTTACTGCAGTAAAAGGAGCACAATGCTTACTGTTACTGCAGTAAAAGGAGCACAATGCTTACTGTTACTGCAGTAAAAGGAGAACAATGCTTACTGTTACTGCAGTAAAAGGAGCACAATGCTTACTGTTACTGCAGTAAAAGGAGCACAATGTTTACTGTTACTGCAGTAAAAGGAGCACAATGTTTACTGTTACTGCAGTAAAAGGAGCACAATGCTTACTGTTACTGCAGTAAAAGGAGCACAATGCTTACTGTTACTGGTAAACGGAGCACAATGCCTACTGTTACTGGTAAACGGAGCACAATGCTTACTGTTACTGCAGTAAAAGGAGCACAATGCTTACTGTTACTGGTAAAATTGTCTATTTGTTGCTACTGTGGAGTCAATACTTCTTTATGGTTCTGAAACGTGGACGTTGACGGAGCAATTGAAGAAACGCATTGATGGCTGCTACACTAGAATGCTAAGGATGGCACTTAATGTGGATTGGAAGCAGCGAAAAACCAACAAAGAAGTCTATGGCAACCTACCGAGAGCAACCATGAAGATCCAAGAGCGCAGGATGCGACTAGCAGGCCATATCCACCGGCACCCAGAACTAGTCGCAAACCGCTCGCTACTCTGGGAACCAACTCATGGGGTGCGGAGTAGGGGGAGACCAGCCATGACCTATGTTGATAGCCTACGAGCTGACACGGGTCTCAACGACACTGGAGAAATGGGCGGACTTATGGCGGATAGAGTTTTATGGAGACAGCGCATCAATACTCGGACGCTGAAGCCGCCTTAAGTCAAGAGTAAGTCACTGGTAAAAGGAGCACAATGCTTACTTTTACTGGTAAAAGGAGCACAATGCTTACTGTTACTGGTAAAAGGAGCACAATGCTTACTGTTACTGGTAAAAGGAGCACAATGCCTACTGTTAATGGTGAAAGGAGCACAATGCCTACTGTTACTGCAGTAAAAGGAGCACAATGCCTACTGTTACTGCAGTAAAAGGAGCACAATGCTTACTGTTACTGGTAAAAGGAGCACAATGCTTACTGTTACTGGTAAAAGGAGCACAATGCTTACTGTTACTGGTAAAAGGAGCACAATGCCTACTGTTAATGGTGAAAGGAGCACAATGCCTACTGTTACTGCAGTAAAAGGAGCACAATGCCTACTGTTACTGCAGTAAAAGGAGCACAATGCTTACTGTTACTGGTAAAAGGAGCACAATGCTTACTGTTACTGGTAAAAGGAGCACAATGCTTACTGTTACTGCAGTAAAAGGAGCACAATGCTTACTGTTACTGCAGTAAAAGGAGCACAATGCTTACTGTTACTGCAGTAAAAGAAGCACAATGCTTACTGTTACTGGTAAAAGGAGCACAATGCTTACTGTTATTACAGTAAAAGGAGCACAATGCTTACTGTTACTGCAGTAAAAGGAGCACAATGCTTACTGTTACTGGTAAAAGGAGCACAATGCCTACTGTTAATGGTGAAAGGAGCACAATGCTTATTGTTACTGCAGTAAAAGGAGCACCATGCTTACTGTTACTGCAGTAAAAGGAGCACAATGCTTACTGTTACTGCAGTAAAAGGAGCACAATGCTTACTGTTACTGCAGTAAAAGGAGCACAATGCTTACTGTTACTGCAGTAAAAGGAGCACAATGCTTACTGTTACTGCAGTAAAAGGAGCACAATGCTTACTGTTACTGCAGTAAAAGGAGCACAATGCTTACTGTTACTGCAGTAAAAGGAGCACAATGCTTACTGTTACTGCAGTAAAAGAAGCACAATGATTACTGTTACTACAGTATAAAAGAAGCACAATGCTTACTGTTACTGCAGTAAAAGGAGCACAATGCCTACTGTTAATGGTGAAAGGAGTACAATGCTTACTGTTACTGGTAAACGGAGCACAATGTCTACTGTTACTGGTAAACGGAGCACAATGCTTACTGTTACTGCAGTAAAAGGAGCACAATGCTTACTGTTACTGGTAAAATTGTCTATTTGTTGCTACTGTGGAGTCAATACTTCTTTATGGTTCTGAAACGTGGACGTTGACGGAGCAATTGAAGAAACGCATTGATGGCTGCTACACTAGAATGCTAAGGATGGCACTTAATGTGGATTGGAAGCAGCGAAAAACCAACAAAGAAGTCTATGGCAACCTACCGAGAGCAACCATGAAGATCCAAGAGCGCAGGATGCGACTAGCAGGCCATATCCACCGGCACCCAGAACTAGTCGCAAACCGCTCGCTACTCTGGGAACCAACTCATGGGGTGCGGAGTAGGGGGAGACCAGCCATGACCTATGTTGATAGCCTACGAGCTGACACGGGTCTCAACGACACTGGAGAAATGGGCGGACTTATGGCGGATAGAGTTTTATGGAGACAGCGCATCAATACTCGGACGCTGAAGCCGCCTTAAGTCAAGAGTAAGTCACTGGTAAAAGGAGCACAATGCTTACTTTTACTGGTAAAAGGAGCACAATGCTTACTGTTACTGGTAAAAGGAGCACAATGCCTACTGTTAATGGTGAAAGGAGCACAATGCTTACTGTTACTGCAGTAAAAGGAGCACAATGCTTACTGTTACTGCAGTAAAAGGAGCACAATGCTTACTGTTACTGCAGTTAAAGGAGCACAATGCTTACTGTTACTGCAGTTAAAGGAGCACAATGCTTACTGTTACTGCAGTAAAAGGAGCACAATGCTTACTGTTACTGCAGTAAAAGGAGCACAATGCTTACTGTTACTGCAGTAAAAGGAGCACAATGCTTACTGTTACTGCAGTAAAAGGAGCACAATGCTTACTGTTACTGCAGTAAAAGAAGCACAATGATTACTGTTACTACAGTATAAAAGAAGCACAATGCTTACTGTTACTGCAGTAAAAGAAGCACAATGCTTACTGTTACTGGTAAAAGGAGCACAATGCTTACTGTTACTACAGTAAAAGGAGCACAATGCTTACTGTTACTGCAGTAAAAGGAGCACAATGCTTACTGTTACTGCAGTAAAAGAAGCACAATGCTTACTGTTACTGGTAAAAGGAGCACAATGCTTACTGTTATTACAGTAAAAGGAGCACAATGCTTACTGTTACTGCAGTAAAAGGAGCACAATGCTTACTGTTACTGCAGTAAAAGGAGCACAATGCTTACTGTTACTGCAGTAAAAGGAGCACAATGCTTACTGTTACTGCAGTAAAAGGAGCACAATGTTTACTGTTACTGCAGTAAAAGGAGCACAATGCTTACTGTTACTGCAGTAAAAGGAGCACAATGCTTACTGTTACTACAGTGGGGGGGGGGGGGTGTCACGTCCGTCTATGTCCGCTTGTCTCATAGAATCCAAAAAGGACAGGACATAGGCGGACATAGACGGACATAGGCGGACATAGGCGGACATAGACGGACATAGGCGGACATTGGCGGACATAGACGGACATATACGGACATTAGCGGACATTAATGGACACCTAAATTGCTAAATAAAATGTTCAATTTTTGCTGTTATAGGGGGGATCATGTTTTTTGTCCGTTCGGTACCCTATTTTTTCAAAACGGACAAAAAATAGAGCGGACAAAAACGGACAAAAATGGACAAAAACGGCCAAAAATGGAAATAACATTTAGATGCTTCCTCCTACTACTCTTCCTCCTCCTCCTCCTCCTGGGTCTTCCTGATCTTTCTCAGTCCTCTTCCTCCTCCCCTCCTCAGTCCTCCTCCTACTCCTCCTCCTCGTCCTCAGTCCTCCTCATCAGTCCTCAACAGTCCTCCTCCTCCCCAGTCCTCCTCCTCCTGAGTCCTCCTCCTGGATCCTCCTCCTGGGTCCTCCTCCTCCTCTTCATTCTCCTCCTCTTCCTCCTCAGTCCTCAGTCCTCCTCAGTCCTCAGTCCTCCTCAGTCCTCCTCCTCATCCTTCTCCTCAGTCCTCCCCCAGTCCCCCTTCTCCTCCTCCTATTCAGTCCTCCTCCTCCTCCTCAGCCCTCCTCCTTCTCAGTCCTCCTCAGTCCTCCTCCTCCTCCTCCTGAGTCCTGCTCCTCCTCCTCCTCTTCCCTCTCAGTCATCCTCCTCAGCCATTCTCCTCAGTCCTCCTCAGTCCTCCTCCTCAGTCCTCCTCCTCCTGGGTCCTCCTCCTCCTCTTCATCCTCCTCCTCTTCCTCCTCGGTCCTCAGCCATCCTCCTCAGTCCTCCTCCTCCTGGGTCCTCCTCCTCTTCATCCTCCTCTTCATCCTCCTCTTCTTCCTCCTCAGTTCTCCTCAGTCCTCCTTCTCATTTCTCCTAAGTCCTCCTCCTGAGTCCTCCTCTTCCTCCTGAGTCCTCCTCCTGAGTCCTCCTCCTCCCTCTCAGTCATCCTCCTCAGTCA